GGGGGGGGGGGGGGGGGGGGCCTGGGCCGAGATTTTCCGACTTTGTCAAGGGGTGAAGTTCCAGAACGCCAGGTGGCGCGATTTTCCAGGGATTACAGGGCGGGGCTTCTAAGGACAAGCTTCCTGGGGCGGAGTTCCAGGGGTCAAGGAAGGATTTCTGAAAGCAGAATTTCCAGGGAAGAGGGACAGAAAGAGCCAAGCCGAAGGCAGGGGTGGGGCTGCTGAAGGCTGAGGGGTGTTCCCCAAACCCAGTCTGTGCGGGGGGCGGGGTCCCTACCCGTCTCTGGCGTGGTGGCCTCGATGCCCGCGCTGGCCGCGAACTCGGGCTTGTATCTGTAGTGCACCAGCCGCATGCGCGAGATCCTCTTCAGCTGCTCGGTGGTGTCCACCTGCCAGGGGACCCCGGGCTAAGACTGAACCCTCGGCCCCTGCGACTGGCCAGAGCAGGCCCGGGAGCTCAGAAGGACTGCAGCCCTGAGCATGCAGTGTGGAGAAGCGACCCCGCTACCCGGCTCACAGATGGAGACCCAGGGACAGCCCCGCCCTTCCACCTGGTCCGGCTTCCTCCCTGGGAGCCCCGCCCCAAGGCCCCGCCCCCACCTCCTGCACTTGCTCCTTGGCCCGCAAGTCCGAGGGGTGCATGAGGGAGCCCATGACCTTGACGTTGCCATGCACAACCAGAGCCTCGTCAGGCCTGTCGGTGTTGATGCCCACACGACCATGGTGGAAGACAGTGTCGGGCACCTGCGCCCGCTGCCACAGCACATCACTGTCGCTCTCAAACTGACCTGGGTTGGAGGCCTAGGGCAAGATGGGCTGAATCAGTCCTGGAGSATGGGGGACCTGCCTGACCATGGGAAAGGGGAAACACCACAGCAACCCCTCCTAGTCCAGCCAGGGCTCTCATCCCACCATGCCCAACTGTCCTGCTCATTGTGACAACTTTTAGTCCTATGTGGTATGCCAGAGGCTACCAGGCTACCAGGCTCCATGCTTTACTAGGAAGGAAATAACTTGCTGGGAAAGGGTGAGCATCGTGCCCCGGGAACACAGCCAATACCCAGCAAAATCCACACAGTTCCTAACTCCTCAGTGCCGGGCATCTCTTCTGGGTGCCCTTTCTTCCAGCTCTGGGGAGGACTCTTTTCCCCTGAAGGGAGGTGGCCCTTACCCTCACGATGATGCGCTCTGAGATCTGGGCAGCCAGCGTGTAGTTCTGGTTCTGTGCATGAGCCTGAAGGGCCACCACCAGCATGAAGTACCTGGGACACAAAGGAGGCTCAGAGGTGCTTAGGTTCCTGCCCATCTGTCCCTGGCCACCCCTTCTAGGCCTTGTGTGCAGTGTACATAGCTCCCGGGTCTCAACCCACCCTCAAAAAGTGGCATTAAAGGGGCTGGGGCTGAGCCGTAGAGCACTCGCTTAGCACCTGTGAGGCCCTGGGTTCAATCCTCAGCACCACATATAAATAAATAAAGTAAACATATTGTATCCAACTACAACTAAAAAAGTAAATTTTAAAAAAAAATGGCATTAACAGTACATCGCAAAGGAACCTGAGCCTCCACTAGGGGGCAGAAGTCCCCAGGACCCACAGAGGACTGCGTCTGAATCCAGAAGCCAGGCTTCTGCCCCTCTGATGATCTTAACTCAGTGAAGGGCTCTGAACCTCAAGCCCCTAATCCATGAGATGGCCGGTCTATGACCTCGGCCACTGGCAGGCCCCATGGGTGGTGTCTTCCTGACCCTGCTGCTCAGAGCGGAGCAGCTCCTGCTCACCTCTGGTCAGGGTTGGGCTTGCCCTTCTTGCGCATGTTGTTGGCAGTGGTCTCACTGAAGTGCAGCCGTCCCACAGTCACCTTTGTGACCTGCTCAGGAGGCAGATTGACCCTGCARAAGAGAAGCAGGGTGCTCAGGGGGGAGGAAGGGAGGCTGTCAAGAACCAGGCCACAGAGGGGTACACAGGCCAGGAGCCTTCGGGAGGTGGACACTCTACCTGGCCCCCTCAGTTCCCAAGCCAGCTCCAGGGGAGGCCCTTCCAGCACCCGCCACCCTTACCAGACACTCACGTGACAGGGTTGAAGGGCCGCTTGCTTCGGTCTGACTGAGACTGTTCAATGTTGATAGACTGGTTCAGGGCTTCCAACTGGGTAGGACAGAGAGCAGCAGAGGCTCAGAGTGGGTCTCCCCACCTGCTCCTGCCCTCCTTCACTCTCTCAGCCTGGGCCTGGCCCAGCAAGAACCGGGGGTGAGGGAATGGAGCAGAGCTCRACCCTCAGCCTCCCTACCCCACAAACTCAGGGGCCGTCTATACAGCAGCACCTGCCACAGCACACCACCCCACAGAAAGTGGGCATGTAGCCACCACGCTCCACCATGCCCCACTGCTGCATGATGGAGCACACATGGTCAGCGTGCATCCTCCCCCTACCCTCACAGCCCCTCCTAYACACCCACACCTACATGCTCCCCACCTCCACCCCTCCATGAACACTGGCTGAGCCACTCATGACACTGAGGCAGACAGAGCTGGGGGACCTCCCAGGGCCTCTCAGRCTCCAGATCAACCACAGTCTGGCTGTCCCATAGGGCCCCTAAGGGCAGGCTTCCTGAGCACGCACCAGTGTGGAGTCTGCCAGGAGGAGGAGGATGGGTTGGGAGCCGCCTAGGGGAAGGCAGGGGCTGGGAACGGGCACCAGAGGGCGGGGAGGGAGGGAGGGAAGGGCTGGCTCTGAGGAGATGGTGGGCTCACTGGGAAGCTGAGGCTGTGCTGGGAGGACACTGGGGTTTTGGAAGAGTGGGGCCATTACCACCTGTGTCACAAGTCAGGGCCACTCGGACAAGGAGCAGGGATGATGGGGACAGGGGAGAGGCCAACGGAAGGAGGGGAGGAAGGGGGCCTAGGCGAAAGGGTGCTCCAGGGGAACAGTAGGGCCAGGTGCAAGATGAGGTCAGTGCGACAGGGCCCCCACGTCTATGGCTTGGGTGACCAGGACCCTGGACTCCATTCCCTGAAGGRGAACTCTGGGTGGAAGCAAGGTCGCAGGGACGCAGAGCTGAGGTGGCTCCAGAAGGGCCAGGAGGTGGGTCTTGGTTGGGGACGCAGACTTGAGGTCACAGAGTGGAGAAGGACGAAAGAGCATGAGATGGTCATGGGCAGCCCCCGGGAGAAGAGGCGGAGGCCCCGGCTGCRGGGTGGGCTGGGCCACGGAGTCCCTCCACAACACTCTGGCCCTCCTGCCCGCCCTCCTGGCTGAACCCCAAACCTGCCTTCACTCCATGCAGCTTCAGGTAGAAGCAGTCGAGGGGCTTGAGGCCCTCGGGCGTCTTGACGTACTTGGGCTCCCCCAGCATGCCGATGTACACCGTCACCTGGAAGTGGTTCTTCTTCTGGCACACGAAGGCGTCGTCCCCCACCGAAAAGTTGAAGCCCTTGTCAGCGTCCACACGGTAGGTGAGCATAGGCCTGGGGGACAGGTGAAAGCCAGGCCTGGAATGGCACTGCCTCCCACACACCCTGATCCAAAGCAATTTCCTGTTCTCTACCTCAAGATCCTCAAACCACCAAGGGTGCTGTCCCCACTCCCCAGAAAAGAAAACTGAGTCCCCAGGAGGATTCACATGCCGATGTCAACTCCTCGGCCGATGATCTTTCCTCAACATGCCTGGTGATGAGGGTGCAGGGCAAGTCTCTGAGGCCCACCAAACAGGAAGGGACTCCTGAGGAGGGGGCTGATGGCCCTCACCACATGTGGCTGGTTCCCAGAAGGCTGCCTGAAGCCCCCTCCCTCACGGGAATGGGGTGAGAGGGGCTGCATCTGCAGAGCCTCAAGGCAAGTGACAGCTGGTTGCCATGGAAACCGTGGAACCAGGCGCCAGCTCTGCGGCAGGCAGGTCCAGCCCCTGCCCACCCATGTGTTCAAGTCCCCACACACCCTCCTTCTGATTCCTGGGTCTGCCAGAGCAGGGAGGGGCACTTCTGGACGCCCCCTCAGACTCAGCGGGAGTTTGCCCTTCTTTTGCTGGAGATAGTAGCAATCGGGTCCCTTTGGGGACCTCCAGGTGGCAGTAAAGAAGGCAAGTGTTATCCTATGGCTTTGCCACCATCACCCAGGTCACAGGAGTGCCTGGTGCCTGCCTGGAGGAAGGTGGGTGGGGACAATGCTTCCAGACTCCTGGGAAGAGGCCTCTGGGCCTGGCCTAGGCCTACAGGAAGGCCTGGGCTCCRGGCCTCTCCTCCTGGGGCTCCACCCACCTGCTCAACCCAGCAGAGTGTGGAGATAGTGCCTGGGCTACAGGGCACCTCTACTACCAGCTTCCTAACCTAGGGTCCTGGGATGACAGGTTGGCCCAACGTGGATCAAGTGCACCTTGTAAGAGTTGAGGGTTTCCTCCCCGGGCCAGACTGCGCTCCCATAGACACCCCCTCTCACACCAGCTGACTTCATGGGACCCTTGAGCTGCCATAGCAGCTGGACCACTCCCTAGCCCCGGGGTCTGCTGGCTAAGAATCCCACACAGCCTGCGGCGCCCAACCCCAAGAGACTGGTCAGCGCCCCAGCCACCCCGCCAGGCCTGGAAGTGTCCAAAGAGGGTTGAGGGGAGTTGCCCTCTCACCTACACACCAGCCTTTGCGGGGGGGGGGGGGGGGGGGCAAGGGGAGTGCTCCCCACAGCGCTCCTGGCCTAGAGCCCAGGAAGCTGAATCCACATGACCAGACAGACCCTGACCCGGTCCTGCCCAACCCCCTCCACAGGGAGGGGGCTCTGGAAGGGCCCTGCTTACACTCAGCTTCCGGCTACCTTCCTGGAATGCAGGCGGAGGAGGAGTAGGTGGAGGRGGAGGCGGAGTCTGAAAACACCCACCGCCCACTTCCTCCAGACTGGCCGCCCTGGCACACACCACCTCCTGGGGAGGCCTGGGGCTGGCCTGGCTCTTTCTCGAGCCTGTTTACTCTTCTGTAAAATGGGATCATCCTGTACCCTGGGTGCTCCCGGGCCCTGATCCAGGACCTCCATGAGATCCAGAGCTGTCCTAAGATGGGGTGGCCAGGCGACACTGATCACTCACAGCTCCTTGTAGTTGGCATCGTACAGTGTGGCCCACTTGTTCTGCTGATGGGGCTGCCACTTGATGGACTGGTAGTTGGGGTCCAGGTAGGAGCCACTGAGACTATCATTGTCCTGCAGGAGACCTGAAGGAAGGGGACACCCACGTGGGCCCTGGTCTCCAGGCCCCACTCCCAACTCCAAGGGAGGGCCAGCCACGTACCTGGTGAGGGTGCACCTGGAGGGTGCCACGGTGGTGTCTGGACCCGGGCAATGCTGAGYGGCAAGGAGCCGGGGCCCGGTGAGAGTGGGCCCTGGGGAGGCCAGGGTGGGGAAGGGGCTCGCGCAGGGTGTGGGGGCAGCGCTGTCACGGTCCCAGGCTCCTGTTTGATCATCCCATTCAGCATCTGGGCATTGAGGGTGTTGGGGGGCGAATCTGAGTGCTTCCTCTTCTTGGAGGGGTGTGTGGGGAGCCTGGGGAGGCAGAGGTGTGTGCCGTGGGGGCTGGCTCTCTCTGAGCCTCCTGCCTTTGTGCAGTGCCCACTCCTCTCCCCTCTCCCTGCTGTCTTAACAGGCTAGGCACAGCCCAGAGGACACTCCCTCTGGGAAGCCCTGGGACATGGCCTCCTCAGCACTCCCACCACTGGTCAGCACTGTCATTCTCTCTCTGTCCCTCCTCCCCACGGGCTAGACCGTGGCATCCAGGAGGACAGGAGCTACACCTGCCTGGTCTGCGTGTCTCCAGCAGGCTCAGTAAAGGCCCGGCACACATCAGGTGACAGCTTTCTTACAGCATCACTCCTTCCAGTGGGGGCTCTGCAAGCAGCCTCCAGAGTCAGACCACACAGGGCCTGGACCACAAGGCCAGGTGGGGAGTGTCCCGAGGCAGGGGACAGGCGCAGGTTTGGGTGACCTGCACAGCACTCCTTTCCCCATCTGGTTAGAATTTTTTTTTTCTTGGTAGGAATTGAACCCAGGGGTGCTTAACCACTGAGCCACACATCCCCAGCCCTTATTTTACTTAATTTGGAGACAAGGTCTCACTAAAGGGCTTAGGGCCTTGCTAAATTGCTGAGGCTGGCCCTTGAACTTGCAATCTCCTGCCTTAGCCTTCCAAGCCACTGGGATCACAGGTGCCACCACGCCCAGCTACAAAATGTTTTGAAGAAGACTCTTTCCTTGAACTTTATAAATCTTTGATGAAATTTCAATGCGCAACACAGATATAAAGTCATGGAAGATAAAAACAGATAAAAATGACGAGGGCCCAGGTTGGAGTCAGAGCAGGGTGCCTAGGTCCAGGCCAGGAACCTCCTTAGGTTGAGGAGGACTCCATGATCGGCTGGAAACCACCTGTGCCTGGGTAAGGCTCAATTCCTGGCTCTGCCCTCTCCTGGTGGCATGATCTGGAGGAGCCACTTTCCCTTCTCAGAGCCTCCGAGTACCTCAGTGGAAAAGGTAGTCCTGAGCAAGTGGCTGTAGATCCCCAGGRCATTACTGGGCACCTAGGTATAAATAGGGTGCCCCCCCATCTTCCCTGCAGAGCCCCTGCCCCCCACAGTGTGTCCCCACCCCCTCCCCCTCTGGCGGCCTGCACCTGCTCTGCCCCTGGCTCTCCACGGGGGCTCCCAGCCTTACTCAGCTCCGTGCTGCTGCAGCAGGTGCTGCAGCATCTGGGACTGCTGGGTGTGGTGGAGATCCGCAGGCACCAGACCCGGCCCCATGGCAGCATACGGCGGGACTGGGGGCTCGGCCTTCATGTACAGGTCCCGCTGCAGGACAGGGTAGTGAGGTGGGGGCGGCGGGGGCGGCGGGGGGCCTGGCAGGTGGGCTGGAGGTGGGGGCGGGTGCTCCAGGCGGGAAGGCACCCCCACGTGGCACAGCGTCTCAGGGGTTATTGTGCGTAGGAGATGGGGGTCTGTGGGAGAGATGGGGGTTGGGCATCAGAGACCACCCTCACTCTGGTTCCAGACACCCGATCTCCCTAGGCAGGGTCTCCAGCTTCCACCCCCTCCTGAGCCAAGTCCCCAAGCCCAGGGGCCGGGGAGTTAGCTGGTCACTAGAGCCTGGGCAGGGAAGCAAGACCCTGTGCAAGAGGCCAGTGGCCTTTGCCCTGTCCTTGCCGGTTCTTTTAAGATGGGGCAGGCCCAGCTCCCCAAGAAGATCCCCAATCTCAAGGTTCCTCCAGGTCCCCAGCTCCTCTCAGGCCTGACCCTCCTTTGGCCTCAGGAAGGAGAGTCTGGAGACCCCCAGCCCTCCTCCGCCGCAGACGGGCCCTCCTCCTCCCTGCAGCAGCCCCTCTCCTGGGCTCCAGGGGCCAGCCCCCCACTGGCCGGAGGGGGAGGCCAGCTCCCATTGTTCCCTGGGAGGCATTCCAGGGATGTTTTGGGTAAGATAAACAGAACTCTTGACCCCTCTTCAGGCTGTGGGGAGCCAGCTGCCCGTGGTCATTCTGTTCTTGACCACCTGGGGGCCACTGCACCCCTGAGAACCCCCRGAAGGGGAGGTGGGCCCAGCGGTGGTAGGCCTCTGCTCAGACTGCACCTGGGCCTTCCCAGCCGTCCACTTACCGCCGAAGGGCGCGTCCATGATGGCGCAGGCGGCCAGGCGGTGGCATCTCCGGCAGGGACACTTGCTCGGAGGCAGGGCCGGGCTCCCCACCCGCCCATGGGGAACAATAGCCAGCGCCGGGCAGTATTTGACCAGCGATAATCTCAGCCCGTTGGGCAGCCGCTGGCCCCCTCCCTCCCTGGCTCCCTCCCTCTCCTCCGATAAGGCTGCCCCAACCAGCCCCAACCACTGGTGCACACCAGCGGGGAGGCGGTGCCCGCGACTCACCGTTCACCTGCTGCGGGGAGTAGGCCTCGGAGCCCGAGTCTGGGGGCGAGTCCGGCAGGGTGCTGCAAGGACCGGAGGAGGGGGCTGTTGGGCCAGCGGCCGGGTCCCCAGCCCTCAGGCCGGGCAGCCCCTCTGTGAGTTGGGGTCCACAGACACCCCCCCCAGAGGCTGGAGTCATGAGGTCTCCTCACCCTACGCTCTCTCTGCGCCACCTACCTTGGGGTGCCTGGCAGGGTCAGGTGATGAACTGTCTGTGGGGGCCTTGGGGTCTTGCCTAGGATCTAGGATCCCCTGAGACCTAATGGCCCCTGTGGACTGGTAACCAGGTCCCTGATGACGACACAGGGACTCAAGGACCCCCCTCCCTAGGGGGCTAGGCCTGCTCCCCTCTCCCTGTACCCACCAGAGCCGTTCAGCTTCCCGGAGGCACTGGGCCCGGGTACCGGGCCTCAGTAGGTTCAGCGGGTCACTGGGGGCTGCCCTGCCAGGCAGGTGTGGGCTGGGCACGGGGCCAGTTCTGTTGGGCCTGGCTTTTTGTTTCCTTGCAAGTTTTATTTTATCAGTGGTTCAGCAAAAAGAACAAACTCAAGCCCCAGAGGTCAACACGTCCTGTGTGAGCCCTGTGCTTGCCCAGCAAGAGGAGGGCTGTGGCCTCCGAGCAAGGAGGCTATTTGGCCATCCCTGGTCCCCTTATCCAGAGACTCCCCTCCATGGTACCCAGGGAACTGCCAGAAGGGACTCGGAGCCATCATGGACACAGCCTGCGCTCACCCTGGAGTCCCAGGTCATCCCTGGACCAGCCACCTGTCCCTTCGGTCCTTATTTACAGATCTATGAAAACCACCCAAGAATGCAGACCCTAAAACAAGGCTGTGTGAGGTRACACCAAAAAGCAGGTGGGGACTGGCACCACACTCTCCCCACAGCCTCGGGGCCCGTGGGCGGATCCTGGTTTGTCCAGCTCCAAGTCCACCTGCCACCTCTCTCTGCACTTCCTGACAAGGGCCTTGAGTTAGGGTCTTTCCCACCATCCAGTCCCTGCCACCAAACATCCTGGGCCCACTGCACTTTTCATTCTTTCTTCTTAAATTTATAAATTTATCTCGCTTCTCCTTATGCCTGTATTTGGTGGTTGGTTGATTGATTGGTTGATTGATTGATTGATTTCTTTCCATCACTGGTCACTGAACCAGGTGACGGAACCCAGGGCCTGCCCGTGCAGGGAGAGTGCCCTACCCCTGAGCCACACCTTCAGCTCTGTGAGGTATTAGTACCTCTCTCCCCATCTCAGCAGCAAACCCACCGAGGCCTGGGTCCCTGTGGCTCTGGTCAAGTCCTCTTCCCTCTCAGAGCCATCAGAATCCTCTAGGAAGAGCTCCTCAGGCCCGCCTCAGGGTCCCCCCAGAGCAGGGTCCCCACATAGACACTGGGGGGCAGTCAGCGGGCACTAGCTGAATCTTGGTTTTCAGGCGTCTGTGGCTCAGGAACAGTGGCATGGCCTCAAACCGTCAGCCTGCCATCTGCTGCAAAGGTTCAGCCCTGGCACCCCAGCCTGGCCACTATCAGCCCGAGACTTGGGAAATCCTGCCGACAGCGTCCCAGGGCCACCGTCCCCCCTGCACACCCCTCTGCTTACTCCCACCTGGCCCTCAGGAGGAAGCCTCTGGGCTCCCTTAACAGAGAAGGAGGCTGTAGATCACCAGGGCAGGAGGCCGGCACAGGAGCCACAGCCAGGCGACCTGGCACAGTGTGGTTCCTGCCCTGCACTCCAGCCCTCTCCCACCCAGACACAGGGTCCCTGCCCCTGCCCAGGCTGGGGAATCAGAACTTCTCCCAGCTCGTCTGCAGAGCACAGCACACCCCTGTTCTCTGCCTCTCCCCACGAGCACGTGGGGTCAGGGGTCGCCCTGGAGTCTGGCTAGGCTGGTGGCCACCTGGATCCTTGGTTGAAGCCAGGCCAAGGCTCAGCCAGGGTCAGCCCACTGGTGTGGACTCCTCAGAGAGATGCGGGGAGCGGGGTTGGGCCCTGGAGAGTGAGGCTGTGTTGGGATGAGATGTGGCTCCAGGGACCACATATGAGCCCCAGGCAATTCCCAGGTCCACAGAAAATGTCCACTGCACGCACCTGGGCCTGGACGGGGCTGTGGAGGTGTTTGGGTACCTGGGTTTGTGCCTGTGTGTGCTGGGGTTCCCAGGGATGGAAACAGAGGTGGCCTCCAGCCCCGCCCGCTCCTGTCCACAGTGCTCAGAGATGTTTCTAGCACCTCATCAGCCCTCCTCACAGCCTCGCTCAGACCCCGCCGGCTGCCCACTGGTCCACTGTGGGGCGACCCGTGGCCTGGGCCCTGCCTGCTGCCAGCACCTTCAGGCCTGAGGCCACCAGGCGMAGGTTTCCCCCTCCATCCGCTCCCTGCCCTCACTCACCCTGGGGCATAGGGAGCCTTGGGCTCTGCCTTGATGGGGGGCCCCGAGCCCCCCAGGAAAGGCTTCGGGGCGGCGCCCATGCCGTTGTTGTTGTTGCAGTTGAGTGGGGCACTGTAGCTCGGGGGCGGGAGGGGACCGTGGCGCACGGGGGAGGGTCCACCCCCAGGGGAGBTCAGGTGGTGGACCCCACTGGAGCCAGGGACTGCAGGCTGCCCGTGGGGGAAGGAGGCCGCGCTGGCTGGAGCGGAGATGTCGGGGAAGCAGCTGCGGAGAAGGGACGAGGTCAGCCCAGCCGTGGGCCAGGCCTGGGAAGCGGCCGCCCCTCCCGAGGGAACTGTGCGGGTGGCAGAGGGCGCCATGTTGGGAGAGGGGGAGGAGCAGCTTTCCGAGGTGGGACTGCGGGGTCCTGCACAGGGGGTGAGCCAGCGGCTGGCCCAGGGGCGGGGGGACTCACAGGTCCGAGGCGTCCTCCTTGCCGATGTACTCCTCCAGGATRCTGGTGTCGATGTTGGAGGGCTCCAGGGCGCCATTGATGTCGTGGCCTGCGGGGAGTGGGGAGCTGGGCTAGAGGCCACATCCCTGGCGACCCTAAGCCTCTGAGCACCGTCCTCCCCCAGGCCCAGCCTTGCAGACCTAGGCCCCAAGCTCTTCCCCTCTGTGTGTCCAGGCGGGGGTCCTTCACTGGCCACCCTGACCCCCTTCAGGAGGGACTGATGATTCCTCCCCCCGGCCCACAAGGCCACCTCCAACCTCCCAGGAGGTGAGAGGCCCAGAGTGTAGATCTGGGCACGAGGGGGCCACCCTTGCACCCCCGCACTCCTTTCTGGTTTGGTGACATGAGCCACAAATGTCCCTCTCCTCTGTAGCATGGGGTGCCTGTCCCTATGTCTGTGGGTCTGTGAGAGCAAACAGGTGCTTTAGGGAGCTGAGGCCCACCACCCTCCATGGCTCAGATGCGGCACGGGTCGTCCAACCCTGTCCTCCAGGATCCAGACAGCCCAGCTGTGGGCACGTGAGCAGGACCCCACCTCCTGGGGAGCCCGGGAGTGGGGAGCCACCTGCAGCTGGTTCCACTGCAGTCAGAGGGCTCCTCGGCCCCCACGGTCAGAGGAGGCCGAGGCCCACAGGGAGGAGGGCTTGCCCTGTCCCACAGCGGCATTCCCCGGAGCTCAGGGTTCTGCTCTCCACTGTGGCCCTTTCTGGGCCCTCCCTGCTGGCCCCRGCCCCATGAAGGGGAGGGACGCAGAGAAAAGGCAGTCCAGGCTCCTGGGCATCATGAGGGGAGGAGAGGGGGTTGGCGCTGGCCTTTCCTCTCCCAGGGTCACCTTGCGGGGGGAGCCAGAGGGCGGGGTGATAAGGGGGCTGACGTAGGAGATGCGTCAACCCCGATAATGGAGGGCTGCTCCACCCACCCTGCTGACCTGGGCTGGCCAGTCCCACTGAGGCAGGAAGGCTCCTTCCACAGGCCCCTGGAGCCCCAAGTCTGGGGTCTGCACTTCAGGCCCCCCTCTCTGATGAGCCCTGGGAACAGAACTCAGACAGCACAGGAACAGAACCCAGCTAAGCCACTCCATGCTGTTGACCTTGGGTAGGCCATGCCTTCTCTGAGCCTCAGTCTCCTCATTAGTAAAATGGGACAAGAATAGGGAACGCTTCTTAGGATAGCTGTGAGTCTGTGGAGACAGGTCTTCGAGGTGCCCGGCGCTCGGTGAGGGCTCAGCAAACACCACCTTCCCTTCCCAGCCCCCGATCCCTGGGGTCCCTGAGCCCCCAGCCCAGGCCCCTCCCTGGCCCCAGCAGGCATTTCAAGAATGCTGAGCCCCGCTTAGGTGATTAATGAGCGGCTAAGCCCTCCTAGGAGTCACGCGCTGCCTGCACAGGCCAGGGCCCTCCTGCTGACCCCCACCCTGCTCACCCAGCTGGCAACGGAGACACCCACCACGCGCGGCCAATGGCCGTCCACAGAGAAACTGGTTGAGCTAGGAAGGACCATCTGCATGCTGCATTCCCGCCCCTCCTGTCCTTCCCTGGTAACCATACTTGCCAATTTTAAGCACCTACTGTGTGCCAGGCATAGGAATTCACCATGTGCAAGCGTTCTGCCTGTGCTGCGCGTCACTCAATCCCACCATAGTGGTGACAATGAAGATGGCAGCTCCTACTGAGTGCCTACCAGTACTTTGGGATTCATGATCGTGACGAGACAACGATGGTAACAGTAGCGGAAGGCGCTCAGGCTGKCTGAGGCCCTGCACAGTTCTAAGTGCTTCATGCATTTTCCCTCCCAGTCACCCCTGGATCTTGGTGGTGTCACTGCAGGACGGGCTGGAAGGTTCCGGAGGGCGGGTCAAGCCCAGGGAATGGGGAAGAAGGAAGGTTCTGGAGCGTGGCCCCGGTCCTGGCAGCTGAAGAGCAGGTTTGGGAGGCTGAACTTGGAATCCACGTGAACGATGGGCTGCCGCGGTCATGGTGCTGCTATTTATAACAAGCCCAGCCCCTCCTCTGCCTCCTCCCGCCAGGAGCACTCCTAATCGCCCCTAATCCTCCTGCCCACCTCCCCAGGGTGGGGGGCCTCGGGCAGAGGCATCCTGGGAGACCCTAACAAGAACCAGATGTGGCTGGGGGGAGGAGGGACCCTCCCGTGCCAGGGGCCGGGCGGACGGAGGGGGAGGAGGGAGCGACAGGCAGGTTGGGGGTGGGCCCGGGGCGGGGGGAGTTGGCCGGCTGGGGAGCTGGAGGGCCTCCCGAGGAAGGCCGACCCCCGCCCTCTCCCTGGAGGCCCTCGAGGACGGCCTGGTCTTCTCCCCACACTGTCCAGACACAGAGACCAGCCACCAGACAGAGGCCCCAGCATGTCCCATGAGCCACACCGGAGATCAGTACCAACAGGGGCACTTGCTGGACCCCGGAACCCAGAGGCTGGAGCAGAACCCCAGGCGCAGGTAGAGGGTGCCCCTCCCCTGCTGCCTAAAGAGCCCCAGACCGTCACTGGACCCCAACATGAGTACCTGGGTCCTCAAGGCCTCCCTGGAAGGAGGCTCCCCGGACGGGAGCTGCCAGAGGATGCACAAGGCCCCACAACCGAAAAGTGCCACCATGAGGTCACAAACCCGCATCCCTGTCTTGCTCCCCTTGGGATATTGGGATAAGTAGGCCCCCGGCCCTCCAGGTGTCCAAGGCTGGGCACTTTGGCCCCTCACCTGCCCGCCCTAGCCTCCTCCTGCCCCAGAGCGCCCTCCCCCCGTAATGCCCTCTTCCTTTCCATCCGGACACACCCCCATCCCACCCCCACATCAGGCCCTCTGCCAGAGACAGTGGCTCCTCTTCACTCTTCAGGCTTCCGCTGAAATCATCCCCAGACTGTCCCACCGGCCCACTCGACCGTCCCCTCAGCGGGGACTCTCCTGCCCAGCTCAGACCCCGGGGGGAGCCCCGCACCACACCCTTCACTAGGCGCCCACTCAGTTCTCTGACACCCCCTAAGGGCAGGTGCTTTCCATTTTCTCTGTTTTACGGATGAGGAAACTGAGGCTGAGGGTTTCCAGGGATACCCTTCTGGGATACCAGTATCCCAGCACACAGTAGGCAAGCAGTAAAAGTCCAAGGGAGGAATCGGGGAGTGGCAAGCCAGAGTCTGGGACCAGGCCTGCTGGTGTGGGGACCTAGGCCATCCTGTGCTTCTGGTCCAGAGCACAGGCTCCCCGGGGGCTGCCCCGTCCTGTGGGCCGAGTGCCCAGCTGCTTCCTCCTGAGGCCCTTCGTTACCTGCTTTGAACAGGAGCCAGACCCTGGCCTTTCCTGGGTGGGCCAGGCGGTGGGAAGGTGGCCCTCTCCCCTCCTCTCTCCACCTCACTTCAAGACCACCCAGCTGGGCAGGAGAGGAACTGAGGGGACCCAGCCAGGTGCAGGACGGAGCAGGCAGGGACCCAGGTGGTCTCTCCACCCTGGGCCCCTCCCTCACACCCCTCCTCGTGCTCATGCCCCCCCCCCACCAGCTGTGGCTGCTGGCTGAGTCTCGGCCATTGTCCCCTGGGACGGGGGAGGGTGGGGACCCGGCACAGTGGGAGGCTTGTGCCCTGCCCACCCCCTCCCTTGCCCGTCAATGGGGCACTTGTCAATTCATGCCCCAAACATGGCGGAAATCCCGTCGGCCACGTGGCTGTGGGCAGGATGGGCCAGGGTCTGAGGATGCTGGTCAGACCTGGTTGCTCTGAACTTGGGGTGGACAAGGCACCAGGACCCAAGCCTGTCCCCTGAGTGTCCACCCCAGGTATCTGAATCTGAGGGGTGTCCTACCTCTAGGAAATAGAGAAACTACCCACCTGAGCACCCTCAGGATGCCCTCAGAGGGCCTGTGGCTCCAGAGGCCCAGCTTCCCATGTGAACCCTCACTTCCTTGCAAGTACCTTGACCTCTCTGAGTCCTGGCTTGCTTCTCTATCAAGGAGAGCAGGAACCCCTGCATCCCAGGGTGGTGGGAGCCTTAAGCCAGGTGAGCCCCAGGAGGCCATTCCACTATCTGTTCCCATCTCTGTCTCTGCCGCCCCCCTTCCCGCCCTCACACCTCTCCACTCCACCCCTTCCCCTCCACCTTCCCACCCATCTGCTCCAGGGACCTCTAGAGACTCCAGGGGGCCCCACACCTCATCCTAAGTCCTCTGAGGCATGAACAGTAAGGTGCTGCTCTCCTCGTACGTGGGTGGCACAGTCCAGCCTCTCGGCCTTGGCCGCAGCCCTAAGATGCCCCCAAGTCAGGTCGAGAGTCCTGGGCCAGCCTCTGTGAACAGTCTCAGAGAGCCCACACTGGGTCCTGGGACCCTGTTTCTCTCTGGGGCCCGCAGACTTCACTCCACAGGGAAAAGCTAGTCCCCGCCCAGTGCCTCTGACCCTGTCCTACAGGAACGAGGGCAGGCAGGCCACACAGGCTGTGCAGTTCCCGCRCCCGTCTGGATGAACACGGCAGCGTTCCCCACACACGGCACACTCCAACATGCATGCGCGTACATATGGGCACACCCCAGGGTCAGGTGTCCACCGATGTGCATGCTCCTGCCCCGGCCTGCCCCTGCCCAGCACACACTGACACACACTTGGCTCATTCAGGTAAGCGCTCACCATGTGTCAGGCACAGTGCTAGGCTCCGGGAACACAGTAGCAAACAAGAGGCAAGACCCCTGCCAGGAGCTGACACTGCAAGGGACAGAGTCAGGTGACAGGGTAGGTCAGTGAAGTCCACTGCATTTTAGAATCCAGGCCGTGGGCACAGAGGCCCTGAGGCCAGAGCATGCCTGTGCACACCCACGGCATGTGCACCAGGACACAGGCACAGGACCGAGGCCATCGCCCCTCTCAGGGCACAGCTTCATACACTTGGGTCCCCACCCACCTTCCCTGCCCTCTCCTTCCCTCAATCCCCCTCCCCACCGGAGCCAGACCCAACTGAGTCAGCCCAGGAAGGGCAGCACCCCCCACCCCCGCTTCCAAGCTACCAGGAAAGCTAGCCACAGACCCAACCTGCAGGCAGAGGAAGGACAAACAGCCCAGGACAAGGACAGGATGTCTATCATGGAGGCTACAGAGAGCTCTGGACCAAACTGTCCCCTCCTCGGGCTCTTTGCTCTTCCTCCCCCTCCCACTCCAGGCCTTGGCACTTCTGGGGTCTGCTCACATGGACAACCTTGACCAGAAGAGGGAGGGCGCTGAGGTCTACGGGGCTAAGGGCTGGACGGGACATCATGGAGCCCGGCCTTCAGCAGTGGGTCAGGACCCCCCGTGTGCCCTGAGGGGAGGCCCTTTCCCGTCTGGCCCAGGCTAGCACCCAACTGTGACCAGGATCCCGTCCCACCTCTGCCGTGGCCACCCSGAGGAGCTGGACACAGCACCTTCCTCTCCCCGTCGTCTCCCCCGGCTACCTTCCAGGCAGGACTCCAGGAAGACCACAGTGCAGAGCACCCAGCCGTGGCGCTCCAGGCCTTCGCCAGACTGGGTCCCTCCCTGTCCCGTGGGAACAAGTCCTGCATCTCCCAGGGGGAGGATGGAACAGGCCGAAACGATGTTGCTGGGGACCAGGACCCAGCATCAGGACCAGGCCAGGCCAGACCTGTCGTGCTGAGGCCTCTGCACACAAGCCACACTCCAGGGCTCACAGTTCCCCTCACCCCTGAAATAAGGACCCAGAGAGGGTGAGGGGCTTTCCCAAAGCATACAGCATCAGCTGCAGGGCCCCTGCCTGAGCTTGGGAGCATCAACCCACCCTGTGGGCCAGTAATCCTCCAGGTGGGGCCCGTCACACTGCCCGGGGCCTGCAGGTGAGGCTGTGCAAGCCCGTGGGACACGCAGTGGACAGACGCTGACATTTAGGGCACAGGACCCAGGCCAGGCCCTAACCCAGCCCTTCCCTGTGCTGTCCTACCAGTCCTCACAGAGGCCCTGGGAACCCGCACTACAACTGCACTACAACTCCACTCCCCTTTACAGATGAGAAGTGAGAGCAAGGAGGGGCAGGGACACACCCATGGGGACTCTGCAGGCAGCTGCCCACCCAGCTCCCACACAGCCCACTACCTCATCCCTCCCCTGCCCCCAGCCACGGGCCACTGCCCCGATGTCAGAGGAGGCCCACCATACCCCATCCCCCAGCTCCCCGGGTCGGAGGGAAACCGAGGCCAGAGAAGGAAAAAGGCGGAAATCAGGGGGCAGGCTGCCCGCGCAGGGCGGGGCCACCCCCAGTTAATGATTCGGTTAATGATTTCTGCTCTGGTCCTTATCGGGGAGGGCAAAGTCCATGGGCAGCAGCCAATCCGCAGCCCTACTGGGCTGTTACCCAGCAGCCTCTGCTGCCAGGGTCCCTCAGTGCAGTCACCTCTTGGCAGCTGGGAAGGGGGTCAGGTTCCCAGGGAGGAGGCCATTCTGCCCAGTGACCTATCTGTCCCCAAACATCTAAGACCCTCAGAAACACTCTGTCTAGTCCCCCAGATTTGGGAGAGACCCCAAGTGCAGGGATGGCTGTGGCTTGCTCCTCACCCCTGGGCTGACCCCAAGCCCTCCCAGAGTCCTGCCCAGGAGGCACCCCCACCCCCACCCCCAAGGCTTCTGTTCACCTATCAGTCGCAGCCTCCGTTGACCAGGAACACTCCCTGTCACCAGCTCTGCCATGTGGCTCTGTACTGGAGGTGGGGACGTGGGGATGAGTCAGACCCCCTGGATCCCTTCCCCTCTGCCTGGCCCCAGGACCTGAGGGGTGGGTCTGGCAATCCACTTGTGGACAGGAGTCCTGGGGGATGGGCCTAGGAGACACCTCATTTCCTTCCCCAGGTGTCAGGGGTCAGGACATTTGGCTACCTCCCCCATCCACTAGTCCCTGGGTGCTCTGCAGGCAGACAGCCCACYGGTCACACTTCCCAGCTCAATCCAGATCCCAGGCAGAGCTCCTCTCCCTGACAGGTAGCCCACCACTCAAGGCCCTGGGGGTGGAGGAGAGAACTGGGGGTGGCTGTCAGCCCTGGCTAACTCTGGCTACCTCCCTCCTCTTGGAGCCTCAGTCTCGGCCCAGGGAAAGGGGGCCCATTCCATCCCCCTCTGCTTTTCCTCCGTGGGAAGGGTGTCCCTCAAACCAGAGTCCTGGGAGAGCCCAGTCCCCCTGGGTCCACTTCGCATGTCTATCTGGAGGCCATGAGTTTGTCTTTGATGGCTAAAAATAATCACGTTTGAAGAACCTGCTAGGGTCCAACTGGCCTACCCACTCTCGCAAGGGACATGGGGCCAGAGAAGAAGTAAACCTGTCCATGCTACATGGGGTTCAAAAGGGAGATCCAGTTCCCCTGCCGGCYTCGGTGGGTCTCTGGAGGCTGGGTGGGGGCCTGGCCTGCACCTGCGGGTCCCAGTTTCCTCATCTCCAGGATCCTCCACACCGACCTGCTTCCTAGCCTTATATCTCCTAGAATAGGAAGCCAGCACCCACCCGCTCTGCGCTCAGCCATTCATACTCCACAGCATCCTCCCTCCCGGGACTTCAGGGCCTCAGGGCGGAAGGCACCATGGAAACCTTCTCCACCACCCGCCCCTGTCTTGCAGGTGAGAAAAAGGGTCCCAGGAAGAGCAAGGCCCTGACAGGATCAGACACCTCTGAGTGGCCCAACCTGTACCAGAAGCTCTAAGGTCCTGGCCAGATCCTCCAGTGCTGCCTGTCCTGGCCCCAACCCGCCACCTCCACCCAGTTACCTGCTGGGAGCCAGTGCATCCTGCCCGCCAGGTCCCCTCTCTACAGGCCCTGTGCCCGCTGATCTGAGCTGCTGTTACCTCTCTCCAGGGGATTAGCCAGGCGGTCACACGGGGGCCCGGCTGTACCAGCCTCGAGGGGGCCGCCCTGTCCCGGCTTCCCACCTGAGGCCCAAAGCGCCTTAGCCCCCAGCCCCACCACGCGCACAGGCAGGACCCGGGACACCCGCCTGTGTGCTAAGGGAGCGCCATGACCCACTCATGTCCCAGGCACCAGGGGCACACATGACTCCCACGAGCTCAGGGGAGACCCGTCCACACGCACCAGCTCTTCCCCCTCCATCACCTGGACTCATACACCCGAGAGCACACCGGGCTCCCAGGCTCCCAGGCTCCCTCAGCCCCCACAGCATCCCCCGTCGTCCCCCCCATTCCCCAGGCCTTCCCCTCCCAAGTAGCCCCAGAGGCCGACCCTTGCAGCCCACCCCCGCCCCATCCCAGCTCTGGAGACTTCCACAGCCCAGCCCTCCCGGGAGGGCGGCCCCACACCCGCCCTGCTCCCCACAGACATTCTTGAGTCTCCTCTTATCTCTCTGGAGGGAGCAGCTTGGCCTCCCTGCCAGGCAGCCGCATGGCTGAGCTGTGGCGTCAGCCCCCCCTCCCCGCCCCCACCCGTGGCCAGGAGAAAAGGTTTGGCCAAGGAGCCCGGAGCCCACGCCAGCAGGTCCACCCCTCTGCCAGGCCCAGGTCCTGGGGAGGAGGCACAGGGCTCTCTCTGGGAATGGAGTGGGCAGGGTTCGTGGGTCATCTGAGTACTTAGGAGGCACAGGGCCACCTGAGCAGTGCCCCCAGGCAAAGACCAGGGTCTCCTTCCCTCTGTCCTGGGAACCTCAAGTCCCGAGAGACCTCTGGAGAGCTCCCGAAGGAGGAACAGTGTCCTGGGAGAAGGGGAGGCCCTGGGGGTGATGAGGGCTGCCTAGAACCCTCAAATGGCCCAGCGGTCCCGGGTCAACCACATAACCTAGTCAAGCTGGCCACTGGGGACTTGGGCCTGCCAGGGTGTCCGGCATCCTAGAGTGGGGCAGCCAGAGGCCTGCGGACGCCCTGGTCTGCGCTACTCAGCTAGCAGGAGTTGAAAAAAGTCCCCACCCCCAGGTCACACAGAGAGAAACTGAGGCAAAAAAGGCCTTCCTCCCTGGCCCAGGGGATTCCCCAGGGAACTGGGACCTGGCCTGGAAACCTGGGCCTCGATTCCCATGCTGTGGCCCCACAGTCCCCGTCACAGCATGGCCAGAGGCAGTCTCAGCTTAACGGAAGGTTCTGGATGTACTGACGAGCAGGATGTAGGTTTGGGGGCTCCGGGTGAGCAGGCTAGGCTCCCCAAGATGGTGGAGAGGGACACAAAAGGGGCCATCTGGCTACATGTTCCAAGATGGGTGTGAGAGGCAGGATCGGCTGGGGGATGTCAGCCCGCACCTCCCCCTCCCCTCCCCCTCCCACACGGGCCCTTCCCTCCTGAACTCATCCAGGAGGGGCAGCCCTGGAGGAGGGGCAGGAGTTGTTCAGGGAGGAGGTTAAACATAGAGGCGGACTTCTAAAACCAACGTGGGGGTGGGGGGAAGAAAATACGGTGGGGTCTATACAGATCCCACCCTGAGGAGGGTACTTTCAGGGTCAAGGTGAGGAGGTGAGCTCACTCCTGTGGGAGGAGGAAGCACAGTTCCATGGACAGGCATGGGTGTCCGGTCCCAGGGAGGCTCATGGGGCTGGTGGGATGCCCTCTGTGGGACTGGAAGGGTCCCCAGGAGCGGAGATGGCTGGTGGCAGGGATGCCAGTTTTGAGAAGGTTCCAGCCCTAGGAGAGCATGCTAGAGTGGGGTCCCAGCCCCAGGTGGTGGAAAGGTAGCTGCTTCAAAGGTGATTTCAGCTTTGGAGGAGAAAGCAACACTACCCAAGGCAGGTGACAGTCTCCAAGGAGGTCAGTCCCCAAGGGGGTTCTATTCCCAGGGGAACACAGCCAGGAGGTCCCAGCTCCTGCGAGTCAGACTGAGGGGAGGGGCCAACCTGAAAGGCACACAAGGGGGTCTTGGTCTCTGGGAAACAGGCTGGGCACTAGATTGCCAGCCTTAATAGGTACAGAAGGTCCTAGAAAGTGTGCTGGGTCTGGTCTGGATGGGGTTCCAGGGAAGCACAGCAGAGGGTCCCCGGACTCGGGAAGTGTGCTGGGGAGGGAGTGCCACCAGTTAGGGGGACTGCAAGCCCTGAAGGCTCGAGTCTGAAAGAGGGCACAGCTCTGTCCTGTTGCCGGGCTGGCAGGGGAGCCCAGTCCAGTGGAGGTGGGTAGTAACCTCCGGGAGACTCAGTCCTGGGGCCAYGCGCACGGCAGGCGGGTGCCAACCAGGAGGAGGATCCCTGCACTGAGGAGGTGTTCTGGGGGTCCCGGCGTGGCGGGAGCCTAGGGCGGTCCCCGTCCCYMGGGAGAGCGGCTGGGGGATCCCAGSGCRGGAGAGTCGCCGCCCCACAAGCCCACGGTCTCTCACCTTCGAAGAAGCGCTGCAGCGCCTCGGTCTCGTCCACCACCTCCATGTCCGGCCTGCCCGGCGCGCGCTCCGGCCGCGGCCCCGCTACAGCCCGGCCCCGGGGCGCGGCATCGCCGGCGGGGCCCGCGCGACAGTCCCGGCTGGGCTCCGGCTGCGGTCCCGCCCGGCCAGCCGCGCACTCGCCCCCCGCGCGGCCCCGGCCCGGCCCCCGCCCGCCCGCCCCCTGCACCCCGCGCCCCGCCCGCCGCGCACAGCGCCCCCTGCCGGCCAGGCCCGGTCCGGCCCGCGCCGCAGGACGCGGCATCTCCTGCAGGCGGCGCAGGGTGCGGGGTCCTGCCCCAGGTCTGGGGCTCGGGAGGTCTGGCCCTATGCGGGACTTGAAAAAGCATACGGGTTGGGCCAGGGTAGCCGTGGTCAGTGACATCTCACCTTTTCTTTGGTCAGGAAAAGTTTCCAGAATTTAGCATCTGGGATTTTCAGAACCAAATTTCCCAACATTTAATGAAAATTTGTTCTGTGCCACTTCTGCATTAAGCGCTCAACAGGTGCTACCTCAGCCCTCGCAGGCACCCTACCAAGGAAGTACTATGACTCCTTGCATTTTGCAGATAAGGAAACTGAGGCTGAATGAGGTGAAGTTCTGTCGGAAGGACCACTGTCCTGCAGAACTTTCTGGATTGGTGGAAAGTTCTCTGTGCTGTCCAACATGGTAGTCACACACTGGTCCTGAAACTGAAGAACTGACTTTCACTTTTATTTGATTTTATTTGGCTTAAAAACAGTCACCTGTGGCAAAGGTATTGGCCAAGGCAAGTCTAAGAGTTTCAAGCCCCATAGGTTCAGAGCCGAATCCTGGCTGATGCAGGAAGCCCTGCTCTCATTCACAGGTTCYCTGTCTAGTCAGGCAATACCTGAAGGCTTTGTCTACAGGTGTATCAGGATGGAGCCATCCCCCTTGCCTTTGACCTGTGCCTCCTGCTCTCTGTCCAGCCTGCCTGACTGWACGATCTCTCTCCTACAGATCCCCTTCTTCAGTCTTCATAAAGCACAATTCAAGTCCCTTCATCCCTTTGCTAAGACCAGTAGTTTCCTCTTGCACTTGAACATCTAAACCTCACGCCCTGGCTTCTGCAGCCTTGGCGGCTGCTCGATCCCTGCCTGAACCACCGACTTCAGCTCCCACTTTTCTGTCACTCACCAAACCATTGCCACTGAGCTCTCCTTCCTATTACCCAAACACGTCAGGCCCACATCTGCCCCAGGGACTTGGCATCCATCAACAATGCTTGTCCCTACATTCTTTCTCAACAGTCAGGTCTCAGCTTACATGTCACCACCCTATCCTACCTGAATCAGATGTCCCAGGCCTAGGCCTTTCTTCTCACCCAGGCCTTTCTCATCACCTAGAATTCTGATATTCCGCTTCTCCTCACTCTAGAATGGAAAGCCTATGAGGGAAAGAGATTTTTCTGTCTCGGGCACTGCTATAACCCAACACCTGGCACAAAGTAGGTGTCTAATAAGCGATTCTTATGCCAGTTGCGGTGGTGCATGCCTGTAATCCCTGTAATTCCAGCAACTAGGGAGGCTGAAGCAGGAGGATTGCAAGTTTGAGGACAGCCTCGCAACTTAGTGAGACCTTGTCTCAAAATAAAAAATAAAAGGGGCTAGGGATGTAGCTCAGTGGTAAAGTGTCCCTGGGTTCAATCCCCAGACTGCAAAAAATAAGTCAGTGTGAATGAATGGACAATGATGTCTTCCAACTACAGACTCCTAGATCTCAAACCTTGGAAGCAGAGACTTCTGGAATCCCAAGACCAACGATCATCCCACTACAGAGTGGCTCAACTCACAGCCACTCAGTACCCTTAGGTACAGCAGGTCGGAGCTGGAAAGACACCTCACCCCACCACTGTTTGACAAAACTGAGGTCTGGACAAAACAGAGGTGGGGGGACTTGTGTGAGGTCCAGATGACCACCTAGCCAGCCTGGAACTCTGAACCCTGCCCGGCAGAGGCGCCCAGAGGAGGGTGGGACCCAAGCCAGGCTGTGTGATAGGGACGGGGTGAAATGCCCATGAGTAGCTCCCACCCCCTCTTTGCCTTCCTCCTCCTTGGTGGCCCGCCATGGGGGAGGGGTGGCCGATGCCTGAGCCCCAGATGTGGCCCAGTCAGCAGGCCTGTAGTGGCCCCACCGAGGAGGGTCAATGCCACGACAGTTCTGGGCTTGGGGGAGGGGGTGCCCAGGCTGGCGGGTGTCTCACAATGAGGTTTTGTCTCTCCGGGGGCCGCTCCCAGAGCTGTTGCTCTTAGGTATATAGAATGGGATTTTGCCGGAGGCCCAGCTGTGTGTGCTGACCCACACTCCCCCTCCGCTTGCAGGCACTGGACTGAGGGGGGAGAGGGGCCGCACTGAGCCACCCATTCTTTTCCAGCTGATGCGCCCAGAGGTTTGTCCTCTCTGCAGACTCCCCAAGACAATTGTTATTCTCCACCCTGGCCCCTCCTCCACCCAGGGCCCGGCCTGCCTGTGGACAGAGTAGACATCCGCCCAGACCATGCGTCTTTTAAAAATAAATTTATCTTCTGAGTTGCCTGGGGTCAGCTAGAAAACCAGCTTCCCTAGAGACTCCACCCACCTCCGGGTCTTTCCTTCACACCCCGTGTGTGCCTAAATGCCCGCCATCTGAGGGCCAGTCAATGGCTTAAACACGGCCTTTGTCCTGGTCATCTGGGATGACACATATTTGTCTTTAACACCCCCTCATCATTAAGGTGATAGGAGCTGGCCTGGCTAGGGGGACTCAGGCCCTGTCATCTCCCTTGATTCCACTTAGGTCACTGAAAAAAGGATCAACGGTCCCCATGGGTCTTCCTGTCTGGGCTGGGGAGAGGGGAAGGGCTCTAGAGGGCTCAGCCACTATGATGAAGCTGGGGTCCAAGCATAACTGGGCCAGGGGCTGGGCAGGGTGGTGGCTGGGGCTAGTGAAGGAGCCCCAAGGAGGGACAGGGTAATTTGCAGACTCATGAGACCACAGAGAGGAGAGAAGCTCTGAAAACCATTAGGTGAGTGTGGGGGCCAAAGTCCCAGGCTGGGAGGACTGGATTCTGCTCGCAGGTTTGTTCCAACCTACAGTGTGACCTGGAGCAGACTGTGAGGACAGGCTCCAAGGCCAAGAGCACTCCTAGCAGCCTTTCCAGCCCCTCACCAAGTGGGGTCACTCTGGATTCCAGGAACCACATAAGTGGGGAAGAAGAAAGTGGGATTCAAACTCGTCTGGGCCACTGTGGACTGGTTGGAGGAACAGCGCCCCCTGCCGTGTGGAAGAGGAAGGCCCTGGGCCTGGGGCTAGCAGGAATTCCAGCTGCCTGTMCACCCTGGGCTCTCCAGCCCCTTCCCAGGTCTCACTGCCTCGAGCCAGSGAGGGTTAGGGCCCCTGGGGTACTCTGGCTTGGCCAGGTGTCCCTAGGGAAACCCTCAGCAAAATCTAGTGGCCCCTGCACTTCATGCTGTGCCRCGGGGATCTCCCACTCCTGCTCTAGCTCTCAGCACTCAGGGACGAGGGCGGGCACCATGAGACAGCTCACCTCCTCTGAGCCCCAGGTCCTTCAGCAAGGAAGAAAGGGCTGACCAGGTATGTAAGACCTCCATGTTGTGATGGACRCAAACCCCTGGTACGTCTCACACAGGCAGCAGAGGCTCCCTCCTGCAGCGGGGCTCGAGGGGCTTCTGCCCCCTTGCAGGAACACAGTGGGGTCCGGGGCCTAGCACTGGCGGATCTCGAGGCCCATGAGAAATGCAGGCTGTCAGCCCCTCCCTGACCTGCCAAACCCGCACCCGTGTTTTAGTAAGACCCAGGGGAACTGTGCCAGCTCTGGGCCAGCACTCAGCCACAGGCTGAGCTGCACCTAAACCACCCAAACTCCCAGTTATCTTTGGGGTCAGAACAGGTTAGGTTCCCAGGAACCTGACTGTCTCCCTTAGGCTTTGGGTTTGTAAGGGAACAGGTGCAGGGGTCTTTGTCCCCCAACTCTATTGCGCGCTGAGAAGCAAGTCCCCACCCAGTGGCAAGAGAGATCACGCCAGGCGCCCAGTGTGCTTCTACATCCAGTTTATACACAGCTCTATACAATATACAGAAACCTTTATATACAGATATATTTATAGAATAAGCTATATTAATTTGTCTCTCCTTTTTACAGCAATATTAGTGTGGATCTTTCATACATTAAGTACAAAAAAGGTCAGGGGAGAATGGCACGTAGAGTGCGCGAGGGTGTGGGGCCCGGCGGCTCACTGCCCATTGCATACAGAGGTCACCCAGGCCCCTGGGAGGACAGGCCAGCGGGTGGCTGGGGGAGCTTGTGCTGTGGGTCTGGGGGATGGTGTGGGGTCAGTCTGAGCCAAGCTGGGCTGAGGGGGGTGGCTCAGATCCCCCAGATGTGACGTGGGGTTGAGGGAGACGTGCAGCAGACCCATCTTCCAGGGGCGAGGCAGGGAAGGAGCAGGTGAGGGGTGGGCTGACCCTGGGTGTCCAGGGCTGAGTCCAAGTCTGCCCCATCCCCAAGCCTGTACAGGTGTGGCTGCAGCCTTGGGGGTGGGGGAGTCTGTCCCTGATGGCTCAGTCCTGGGCACGGCAGGGGGGACACACCCACCCTAGAGGTCCCCAGACCCACCCAGAAGAGGAGGAATTAAAAAGGCCAGACCCAAGTCTCTCCCTGCTACTGGCCCAGGTACTTGTTGGAACCTTTGTCTAATTTAAGAATTTGTCTAGTTTTTTAAACTCTCGGAGTCAGATTCTGTCCTGCTTCTGGGCTGGGCTGAGGCCGTGCCTCAGTGGGGACAAGGTGCCTGGAATCTGGTAAGGGCAGGGCTGCAGAGCAGGAGGGGAGGCCCAGCTCCCAGTCTCTGTCCCCATCTGTCAGGGTGGGCAAGGGCTCCTAGGGCAGCCATCCAGGCCAGCCCAGCTCGGGGGTGTTGAGGTTCAGGACCAGGTACCAGTGCTCATGAGACAGGGGACTTATGGGAGCTCCAGTGGCCCAAGGAGGCTGGGGTGGGACCAGGGTGGGGGCACCATGCCTCCGAGGAGACGAAGGCACAAGTGGGCCGTCAGTGCGCCTGCCCAGCCAGCCGGGGAGCTTGTCCAGCGACGCCGCCTCACACTGGCTGTTTCCTGGGCAGGGTGGGAGAGGCAGCAGGCAGGCAGGGCAGGCAGGGCGGGCAGCCTCCAGAGCCCTTCCTCAGGAACGGTGCACACTCATGCACATGCACACACTCGTCTGACACTAGCATGCACAATCTCCCCAACACCTGCTTCACAGGGAAGGCTGGGTTCTGCCTCCCCACTGCTTCCTGAACCCAATAGGAAGGAACCCCAATGAGGGCCTTCGGCTAAACTGGGAAAGCCTTGAGCCCCTGGCCCTCCTGGTCCCTCCCCTGGGTGGTGGGTGGAGGGTCTCCAGCCAGGTCCCACAATACCCCACTCTTGGCCCCACTTCCCACCAATAGGACACTGAGGGTGGAGGGCGGTGGGAAGAAAGGCCAGCTCCCAGGAAGGAGCCCAGGCCATCGAGGACGGGGTGAGTGGGGCAGAGGTTTGTTTGGTTTCAGATCCGGCGGCCCRGAGAGGCCTAGGTGTGGTGGGGTCCACATAAAGGAGTTAGGTAGGACCCTCAGAGCAAGGGACTTCGGCTGCCTTCGTTCCTCCCAGGACGCTGACTCTGCAGCCAGGGGTGGTCGCGGCAGTACCCACCACCCTTCGAGTGGCCAGGGTCCCGGGGGTAGAAGGTGGAAGCCAGGAAGTAGCAGGTAGGTGGAGCAGGCCGGGGGCCCAGGAGCCTCGGGCAGGTGGCCAACTGGAGGAGTTCTGGGCAGAGAAAGGGAGGTCCCAACCCCCTCCTCCAGTGCCCTCCGCTCTCGTGGGCCCTCTAGAGGGGCTACTGGACACATTACTGGGTGTGGGGCCTTGCAAGCCCAGCAGCTTCTGTAAACATTTACAACACTGTGGGCCACCTGATGGAGGTCACCCCAGGGGACTGGCCAGCAGGCACCAGATCTGGGGGCGGCCAGGGCACACACGTGAGAACACGTGCTGAGGGGCTGCTCTCCACCCCCAGAGCCCGTTTACCGACGGCCAACCTTGGAACCGGGGGTGTCAGGATGCCCGTGGGGGCTGAGCTGTGAGGGCTGAGTGTGGCCTGCCCGCCCAGCAGGCTGCGCCTGGCTCCTCCTCCCTGTGCCCTGCCCTCCCCCATCATTCCCCATGGCAGGGCCAGACCCCAGCCGCCTTGGCTCTAGGGAGTCCTAAGCTGAGGTAGGGATGCAGACCCCCAGCTCAGCAGCAATGCCCATGCCTGAGGCTAACTGACCACTGGGGGCCGCTCCTCAAAGCCGCCTGGCCTGGGGGCAGCCACCAGGTGCCCACGGGGCCTCCTGCTCCTGGCAGCAGCTGCTGGGGCACTAACGTGCTGAGATGACCAGGTCATCCTGCTTGGCAGGGCTGGCCCCGCAGCCAGTGGGGGKAGAAGTCCGGATCTTGTCGGTGGCCAGGCACTCCTGGCTGCTGAGGCCTGTGGGAGTCAGGTCCATGAGCTCCCCGGAGGAGCTGAGCGGGAAGGAGGGAGAGAGCGAGATGCCTGAGGAGGGGTCGGCCGAACCAGCAAAGAGCCGTGGGGGTTTGGGCACCAGGTTGGGCTCGAACTGGGCGCGGAGCAGAATTTCTTGCTGGCTGGGGGACTTGGGGCCCTCGGCATAGTCGCTGGTGGGGCTCTCGGGCACCACCATGCAGTAGAGGTCCTGCAAGGAGCTGCTCTTGCTGTCCAGGTTGAAGAGGCTGTCGATGAACTCTGCGAACTCCAGCACCTGGGGGCTGGGCGAGTCCCCCAGGCGCCCGTTGTGCAGCGCCAGCTCCCCGCGGGGCGGCCCCCCGCCGCCCTCTCCTCCGGCCTCTTCCTCCTCCTCGTTGGCCGCACTGGGGGGCCGCTCAGGAGTCACCCCGCCACTGCCCAGGGCTGCCTCCAGGGGCTGTGTGTCCTGTGAGTGCTTGGACAGGCTATCAGCTGCCAGCAGCTCTGTGCGTGAGCTCAGGGAGGGGTTCTCCTCGGGGATGGCCGGGTCGATGTAGAAGAGGTGGCCCTCGTCCCGCTCCAGCACCGCGTGGAGGCTGGGGGAGCCTCGGATGCTGCGGAAGCCCGAGGAGCGGCGCGAGTCGAAGCTGTACAGGGATTCTGTGTCCGAGAGACTCTCCATGGTGGCCAGTGGCGCCCGCCGGGCCTGCAGCTCCGCGGCCAGTCGCTCCTGGGTGGACAGCAGCAGCAGCTCCACGGGGTCCTGGCGGGCTGCTGATGCGGCAGCCACGGGGGACAGCAGCCGCCCCTCCGAAAAGCCCTCCAGACTCATCTCAGACTGGGACTTGCTCCTGCAGAGGAGGCAGGGCGGGGAGAGGGGGCTCAGGAGAGGGAGGAGACAGCCYGGCTGGCAGCGGGGGCAGTTCACTCAGCTGCCCTTGAATGGTGGGGGCAGGGAAGCCTTGTTTTTTAAAAATGAACTTGCAAGAACCCAAGATGGAGACAGGGCTGATGTGGGCTTGGACCCAGCGGGCCCAGGGAACGAAGAACCCGCCTGGAGCATTAGAGCTCGGAGTGCCGCCCGCGGACCCTGCACCATGGCAGTCACTATATTTATGGGAGACACAGTCCTTGAGAGATTGACTGCCCCAGGTCACTCATGAGGTGACAGTGGAATGGGAATACAGGGAGGGACAGGGCGAGAAGGAAGCGGAGAAAGGGGCCTGCCCCCACCTAGGACTGCAGTCACTTCCTCCTCACACTGTGGTGGGTGCCAGCCTCTGCTGGACAGGGAGCCCTGGCACCCCATGCTCTGCACGTGAGCCTGCAGGAGTGGGTGGCTGAGCCGTCATCGCRGCTGAGAGCAGACACGGGCTCCCTCCTCTGGTCATGCTGCTTCCATAGGAAACGCATAAAAAGCTGGGACAGGTGTCCAGGGCTTCCTACAAGGCACTGATCACCCGTCTCAGCAGACTCTCCTGGCCAGATCTGTGACTAAGGGCATAGGGCCAGGGTTCCAGAAAGGCAGGGCCACCCCCCCTTGGAAGCATCACTGCCTAGGAAGTGTGCACGCTGTGTCTATGTGCGTCTGCGCCTGTGTCTGGCTTAGGTACACGTGTGCACTCACACCAGTCTGCCTGTCCAGGTATGGCCCCATGTACATTCTCTGCCTGTCTGTGTGTGTCCTACACATGAGCACGTGTCTGTATGGGGTTCGTGCACATGTGTACCTGTGACTCATGTACACACGTGACCGTGCCTGCACAAGCTCAATGCAACATGGCTTATGCACGTACAGATAAGTGCGTGTCTAGATGCTTGGGTGTCAATGAACGTGTGGCCCGGCACCTGTGGGCTTGTGTGCAGAGACCCTCCCTGTCCCACACAGGAGTCTCTGAGACACAACTCAGTGCTGGCAGGCTGAGGGGCAGGCGGAGCAGAGCGGAAGGGGGCTAGTCTGACCCTCCCATGCACATGTGAGAGTTTTGTGAACATATGTTGGTCCAGGACACACCATGGACTCACACTCCAAAACCACACACGGTCTCTGCACGCATCCCTGGGTACGTGACTCACCTGACGCTGCTGTTGCGGTGGTCTGCAGCTGGCAGCTCCAGGGCCAGGCCAGTAGGCAGGGGTGGCCCTGTAGGCAGCGGCTGCTGCTGGAAGATGAGCTCAGGAGTCAGGTCCACCTCTGTGGGGCTCACCATGACCTTAGCAGCAGAGAGCAGAGCTGTCTTTCCCTTGTTGTAGTTCTCCAGCACCTGGGGACAGCACAGGGAGGCTGGCGGTGGAGGGGCAGCCTGCCCAGCCTGCTTCTCAGACAAAAGCCTCTTGGGTCACTGGGAGCCCATGCTCCTTCTTGCAAGGGCCCTGCTCCTCAAGGAAGGTGTCACTACAGGTGACACCTCGCCAGAGACCCACAGGTTGGAGAGCCTCTTCTCTGTGCTCAGCCCTTCAGTGGCTGGTGTGGCTGGTGGTGGCTGAAGCTGTCCCTGCTTGGCTGTGCATCTGCGAAGTGCCAGGCAGCCCTCAGGGTCTCTCAGCCTGCTCAGGGACAGGTCCTACTGTGGGGTGATGTGGGACTGGCAAGAGCCAAGGGTGTGAGCTGGCCTTTCTGGTCCCCCTAGGGCCACCTAGGGGCCCTGGCTGGCTGCCTAACCTCTCTAAGCCCCCTTACCCCTTGGTAGAAGGGGTACAGTGACCCTGCCTGTAAGGCCCCTGTGTGCTCTGATGAGGTGACTGCATCCTGCTCTCTGTGGGGCCCACAGCTCACCTTGTTGAGCCCCTCCATGACCACATAGGGCAGGTGCTCATGCAGCATGGCCGGCGAGATGATCACCTCGTTGAAGGCCTTATTGTCACCCCAGATAGCGAAGTATGTGGGCTCTTCTTGTTCACAGCAGCTGAGGGGGACAGGGGGACATGGGGCCAGTGAGGGGTTGAGGAGGCTCTGTGCTGTGCCCCTGCTTGGCAAGGCTGGGATGGATTTGGGGGCCTCCTGCCCAGCTGGTCAGCAGGACTGTCCCTAGACCTGGCTCCTGGCTCCTGTTTCACTCTCAGCCTGGGAGAGGCTGACCTAGGGCCCAGCTGCAATGTCTACAGCCTCCTGCCCATTTTTGGTCTGAGCCACACCTGCTCCAGCCTGGGCAGGGCCCAGGTCATCCGCTTACTTGGGTATAAGAGCCCAGGCCCAGGCCTCTGGGGGAAGCAGCGTGAGGCCTGTCTGCTGGCCCACTCATGTCGTGCTCTCACCCTGCCGCCGTACTTGCCCACACTGTCTGCTAACTAATCCCTTGTGAGGCCAGGTAGCACTGAGCTGTAAGCTGGCCAGGGTGGACACTGGGGACAAAGGCCGGGACTGAGAGAGGGAGCCTGGAGTCCTGCCCTGGGCTGGCCTTTTGTTCCATTTCCAGGGCTCGAAGCCGGGAAACCGCCTTTGTGGGGTCAGGGTTCATCACCTTCTAGTCTCTGCCCCTGCCCATGCAGTAGCTAAGCAGAGGCCAGCGAGACCCTGCAGCAGCAGACCCAGACCCAGACCCAGACCCAGACCCCAGCGGCACCTACCAGCACTGCTCCGCAGGGTGGTTGTGCACCACATGGATGATGCGGCCAGGCGGGTACAGCGGGGTGCTGGCCGAAAGGGCGATGGTCAGGTCACTGGGGTGGGTCCAGAGCCGTGTGCTGGCCAGAGTGGTCACCTCCACCTCCTCGGGCAGCTCTGACTTGGGGATGCACTTGGTGGCCCCCACAATGATTCGCCACTGTGTGGGGCAGGGGAGACAGGAACAGAGCTGAGTAGCGCTGGTTGAGTGGACAGGGCCAAGGGCACTCGGAAGGAGGGCTCAACAGGTGAGAGCAGGGAGGGGATGGTGACGGGCAGGGGAAGGGCAGTGGCCGGAGCATTAAAGGTCGGTGCCCACCTGAAGAGGCAGTGGCTGAGGTGTACGGTGGCCAGTTGGCCAATAAGATGCCAAGGACAGATGACATGGAATTGTTGAATTTCAGGGCTGGCAAGGGGCTGCAAGATCAGCCAAGCCCTCATCTAGTGGATGGGGAGACAGGCCAGTGAGGGCAAGGATGGCTCTAGGTCATTCCACAAGTCAAGAGGCAGAACAGGCCTCAGCTGGGGCCAGCTGTAYCCACCAGGCCTGGCCAACTCTGGGTTAGGTCCCAGCCACCTGCCTCTGGCCTGATGACGCCCAGGCCTGGGTCTGGCAGGAGCAGGTCCTCCTCCCCAGAACCAGGTGCTCCAGGCAGACACAGGCCCATAAAGCTCTGTTGCCCTGCCCATGGGACCTGGTCCACGGCCCTGCCTGTCCACTTGGTCACAGGCACCAAACCTGGAAATTGGGCAGGTGGGCTGAAATGGCAAATGGGCAAGGGCCTACCTCAGGGAACTAAGGGAGGGGGACCTCACGAGKATCAAAGAGCCCAAGTGTGCCTCCACCTGCGGGGGGCCTGCCCCAGGGTGCCTGGCCACAGAGCACACCCCACCCCACCTTCCTGATGCACTGAAGGCCACTTTGCACAGGAAGAGCCCACCAACATCCTCCGACACCTGAGCATATTAGAAGGGCTGGCCCTCTAGCCCCAGCAGAAGATCAGAACACGCTGAGCCCAGATCCTCCCCAGGGGGCTCCCAGCTTTCCTTGGGCCTGGCCAGCTTCCATGGGCTTTGGAGCAGAACTTTCCTTAATCTGCTCAAAGCACTGAGCCTCAGGGATCACCTCTCCTGATTTCAGGCAGCCCTCGCTTCTAGTTCTGAGATGGTGACCACTGGTTATGTGAGCAAAGGCTGGTCCCTCCCAGGCTGAGTCTGTTTTCCCATCTAGGTGACACGGATGGGCTGAGCTCAAGATGCTGAGGGTCTGATAGCCTGAAGTTCCCATGACACTGGCCAGCAGTAGCTGGGACCTCTTGTGCTTTGTCCCAAGGGACCAGCAGGGGACAAGGGCAGGGACGGACAGGGCTGCCCAGGGCCAGGGTGCCGGGTGGGCACTCACCTTCGGCTTGGTGCTACGCTGCAGGACATCCAGGAGCTGTCTGCGGAAGCCTTCCAGCTGGGAGAGGCCAATCCTGTGGGAGGAGGCAGAATGGCATCAGCCGGGCCTGGTCAGGGGCTAGAGAGGGGCAGGGGAGGGGGCAGGGGAGTAGTCCATGCCTAGCCTCCAGGAACAAGACCAGTCTACCAAGGTCAGGGGTGGCGGGGAGTCTGCAGCTCAGCAGAGCAGAGCAGAGCAGAGAGAGGCCATGCAGGGTGGGGCTAGCACCCGTTCCTTGTCTTCTCACCACCAGGCGAGAAAGGGCAAGGAGGGAGCACGGGATCCCTAGGGAGCTGGGAGGCTGAGTGAGAGACCTGGGGTCTAGGGACTGAGATGAGGCCAGGTGGCAAGGTCACAGCGGGAGGAAAGGAACTTGCCTGGGGACGAGGTCTTTGCCCAGAACCACAGCAGTGACAAACTCCTTGGAGTACTCCATAGCATCCTCACTGCAAGGGAAGCCCAGGTAGGTGCTCAGGCCACGGGGAGGATGTGGTGTCCCTGAGGTGGCGCTCGGCCAGGAGCACACCCCTACTCCTGCACTCCGGGCTCCTAGGGAACTTGCAAGGCTGGGTCAGCCCTCCCGGCCCTGTCTTTCCTGCCTACAAGGCTTTGCCAGGGTAGGACTGGGGTCACGTGGCCTTTCACACAGCCCTCACCCGACCGACACTCTCCACTTACTGGCCAGTCCCCAGCTCCCAGCCCGCAGCCCCAGAGCCCAGCCTGCCACAGCCAACTCTGAGACCCCAGCAGCTCACCTCAGCAGGCCCCCCGGGGGCGAGTAGGCAAAGCACTTGAGGGTCGGGTACTGTGGGCGCAGGAGGAAGGAGAGGATGGCCGCCGTGCCTGCACCCAGGGAGTGGCCCACCACAATCAGGCCGTAGTGCTTGGTTCCACGGCCCTGGGGATCAAGATAAGCCTGAGAGCCTGGCCCTGTGCCAGCTCACTGACCTGGCTGATACCAAGGAGGCAGAGGGGTCCCCCCAGAGGCCTGGAATCATATCTGTGCCAGGTGGACGCTGGGGCAGAGGGAGAACCAAGTGAGGTTCCCACAGAGTGACTGCTTAGGGGGTCTGTCCTCACGAGGGCACTCAGTGGGGAAGCCCTCCCTGATCTGACCTTAACACTAGGATGGTTTAGCACTATTACAGCCACCTGGGCACCTGTCTCCATTCCTCCACCCCAACGCCTAGCCTGGGGTCTCTGCGGCCAGGGAAGGGGCAGCAGGCAGCACCAGGGGCCGGCCCAGCCAGGAGGGTGGTGGGCTGGGCTCCAATCRCAGTCGAGCAGAGCAGCGCACCTTCCACCTGCTCGGTGGTTATTTTCTTTGCTGTTCTGTTCTTTATTTTGAGCTTCTCCATAAAATGTCCCTTGGACACACGGCTGTGCAGCTGCGAGGCGCAGCAGCCCCGGCGTTGGCCCAGAGCAGGCACTCAGTGACTAYGGGGACAAGAGGGCACCTCGGGGGAGCTGGTACCACAGGGGGCCCAAGGGACTGCGCAGGAGCGGCCGGGAGGCAGTAGAGGAGGGGAAGGCCACATTCACCCACGCTCTCCTGGCTCTGCTGTCCTGGAGGAGGACAAGCTGGCTGGAACAGGGCCCAGGGGCACGGAAAGCCACTCACCAGGTCTCGCCCAAAGGCCTGGGACAGGACCATCTCTTGTTCTAGCTTCTTCTTGATGTACTCAGCTGACAGCACCATGCCCTGGAYGAGAGGAACACAGCAGGATGCTGAGAGGAGGCCTCCAGGGACCAGCAAAAGCAGTGAGCCACAATACACTGGCCCTGTGCTGCCTATGGCCCACTTAGGTCCTAGTGTCAACCAGACTGTGGGGGCTGGTGGACACTTGGATGAGGAAACAGAGGCCCAGAGCAGGGGTGTCTGGGGCAGGCTCTAGGCTGGGTGCCAGACAGGGCTTCCCGTGTGGGGCCACGACCTTCCAGACTAACCCCACCTCCCCGAGCAGTCTCTCCCATGGCCCAGTGAGCAGGAAGGACCCAACAGCAGGCACCTGTGGGCTGGGGGTAGAGAAGGAGAGGGCCCTTGGGGACACTCGARGCCAGTACCTTGTGGCCCAGCCAGGTGCCGCGGTGGCCCTCCACAGGGAGGCGCTCAGCATCACCTGTCAGGTCGGTCAGGGCGTCCTAGGGGAGAGAGGAGCAGGTGAGGGGTGTTTGAGGAGGCGAGGAGCAGACAGGCAGGCACCCCAGGGTGGGGGGAGCCACGGTGGCATACCTTAGGGGACAGGGTTCCCCGGATACTGATTACAACCTTCTTCTTGTCGTGGTCCACTGCCACATAGAAGGGGGTTTCATAGACCTAGAAAGCAGCAGCTTGTGAGACTGAGGGGCCCCAGGATGGGATCAGATTTGGGAAAGGGACCTCAGGACCTAAGCCCATATTCCTGGCTCCAATCAGGCTCCGCTGGCCACTGAGCCCTAATCCCTCCCAGGGCCAGGACTCCTGGCAGTGGCTCTGTGCTCTGTCCCGAGCACAGGGGCCTCACTGCCTTCCTGGCCCCTCTCTGACTTGTGCTGCCCAACTGTCCATCGCACTGCTGAGCCCAGATCCACCTCTGCTCCTCCCTGTGCTCCCGCTCCCCCTTCCCTTACAGTGGGGCCAGCACTGGGTGTTGGGAGGGTGTCCACTCTCCTAGCCCCAGAGCTGGTGTGGGCCCAGGGTCTGGAGGAAGAGGGGGCTGCCTCCTCACTGCCCCCTAGGATGGCCTGGAGGCTGCAGGGCCAGTGCTGGCTAAGCCGAGGGTTCCCGCTGACCTGGAAGGGTGGCTTCTGTGTCCCAGTCCCTGAACCGCCTGCCCCGACCCCAGGCCCCAACTTGGCCTGTCCGCTGCCCAGCCCCTCACCGCGTCATGGCAGGAGGTGTAGACGATGTCCACCGCAGTCATGTTCTCATCCAGGAAGTGGCGCCGGATGGCGATGGCATTGCAGCCACAGCAGTTGTCTTCCTCAATGGTGACTCCAGGGGCAAACCGGGGCCGCGCAGGGCACAGACAACACCTGGTCAGGGGTAGGGGGCGGGCAGTTCAGGGCCAGGGAACCGCTGATGGTGCCGCTTTCTCCTCTCAGCCCCTCAAACCTACTCCAGTGGGCATCCCGCTCCACCCACTTTCAACACCCTGGTGACCTCACGTGGCCAAGGCCACTGGCCAGTTCCCAGTGCTCACTCCTTGTTCTCTTGGCAGCACCTGACCCCGTGGGTCCTCCCAGCTTGGCTGGAGGCCCCCCGCCCCAGGAGTGTTCTGTAGGCTGGGCCCCTGGCCCTTGTCCTCTGGCACCGAGGCCCCTTTCCTGCAGCTGCCCTGGCTGCTCTGCGTGCTCACCAGTCCAGAGCTGTACATGTCAGGAAGTGCCCAGGAACCTCCAGACCCACTCTGCCTCCAGGTGCTCCCATCCAACCACCCATGCAGCATCTCCCCTCAGAGGCCTGACGAGGCCAGTCCCAGCTGCCCGCCTGCACCCCGTGGCAGCTGCCCTGTACTCTGCCACACACTCCACTCAAGCACGCAAGTCTGGCTCTGCCTGCGGACTCCAAACCAGACCCTGCCTCCTTCCCTCCCCAGGCTCTCTTCCTGGGGACAGCACAGTGGCCTGCTGACTGGTCCCCCTCCCACACTTTCTCATGTTCTCCACTCAGTGGCAGAATGACCTGCTGAAGATAAGCCAAGCCTGTGACTTTTCCACTTATACCCCACGTGTAGCAACATGCTCCTGCCTACAGAGAACCTGGGTCCTTCCTGCCCGCCGGCCGGGGTCTCTGGCTGTGCCTCCCTCTCCTCTCCTCACTCATGCCCCCCTCCCCAGGCCTGTTCAACATTCTGCCTCAGGGAGGTCTTCCCTGGCCACCCCAGCATTTCACATCCCAATGAGACACTCAGCTGTGCTCCTCCAAAGCACCTCCACACACACGCTCCACATTTCCTTGCCTGCGTACTGYCTCAGCAGTGAGTGCCACTGGGCAGGGTCTGCTCTGTGGGGGTCACAGMCATGTCCCCAACACCAACACCTGCCTGGCACAGACGGGGCTCCCCACAGAAGTGGGTGAATGAGTGCTGCATGGAGCACCCATTTGGGGATCACTGCTCCTTGGGCCACCAGAGGGAGCCAGCACCCAACAGATTGGCCTGGAGCCCATGGTGCACATGACAAGGTCTGCCAACTATCTTGAGATGACAGCTGAGATTTTATTAAGAACCCGAGATGTCCCTGATGCTGAGAGGCTTGTCTACTCCCAAAGCTGTACCTGTGGGGTTGCCACTTCCCAAAGGGGACAGGCCTCACTGAGAAACTCAGGGTTGAGGCAAGACCTGGGAGCTACAGGGTCGGTGTGGACACCACTCTGAGACACACTGCATCAGTCACTGGCCAGGAGGGAGCCCCCACTACCAGGTCACCACCCCCAGGCCAGGCCCGAGCTCCTACTCTCGGACAGCTGTCCTCTCCCCCTGGGCTGAGCATGAGGCTGCAACAGTGTGACCTGGAGATCTGGTCTGAATCCTTCGTGTCACTTCYGGATTCTGTGGGCCTGGAGGAGCCTCAGTTTCCTCCCATGGCTGCGCCCTAAGGCTGGTGTGAGGCCAGAGGTCCAAGACTCAGAAAGGGCCTGGTACACCACCGGTCATTAGTACATGTGGACTCCCCCACTCCAGTGAGGGCTGCTTCTAAACAAGGGTCTCTGAAGGCCAGAGGAAGCGACCAAGGGGCAGGGGCAGCAGGCTGGATGTGAGCAGCCCTGCAGTGTCTCTGAGGGTAGCACTGCCACCTTGGGTCTCTGAAGCCTGGGCACCAGCCTCTGTGTCTGTGGGAGAAAGACCTGCCACATATCCAGGGCAGGGTTGGAGCCCCAGCTGGCCAGAGGGGCTGAGCACGGGCAGGCCTGGCTCTCATGTCCTGTTGTGGGGGAACTGCTGCCAAGGGAGAGGCCCAGGCCCAAGGGTGGTGGGCAGTCCCTCTTCCTCCAGCCACCTGGAGCCAGGCCTGGGACGGGCAGGCTGGGAGGCCGAGAAGAGCGCCCCGCCCCCTGGCCTGTCCGAGGGCCTTGGCTGCACACCTGGGCCTGGCATTGCCTCGCCTTCAGCCCACAGCCCTTACTGGGCCCACCCAGGGCCCGAGGACTCCGCATGCTCTCCGTGGGGCATAAAGAATGCACACGCAAATGCACACGACCCTGCTGCAGGCAGAGCGCCAGGGTCCTGCCTGCCAGGGACCCTGGATTCCACAGCAGCCTACGGGCAGGCGCCGCCTGTTTATAAATGAGAAAACCGACTCCAGGAGGTGTCCCCACACTGCCACGAGTGACGAAGCAGGGCCCGCCAGAAGCCAGGCCTCTAGACTGCTGGCCCTGTGCTCCGCCCTGGCTGGGACTCCCACGAGGACAGGGCAGAGGGAAGAAATGTGCAGTGGGCAAAGAGGGAAAAGGCACGTGGTGCCCTGGTTACCTCTGATCAGCTGCCAGGGGCCTGCCAAGAACCAAGTCCCAAGAGCCACCCAGCTTTCTGAAGAAAGAGCGGGCACTGCAGGTGGGTGTGGCTGTGGAGGGCCCCAGGACAGGGGTGCTGAGGACAAGCTCCTGCCTCACAAGCCAGCCTTTCTGGAACAGGAGCCCAGGGAGCTGTCCTCCTTCTACCTGGCATGGGCTGACAGCACAGCCACCAAGGACGGGCGGCTTCTTCCTGGAGCCCTTCTCTGGCCCACTTAGGGCACAGAATACCCCCAGGACTGGGTTAAYGGTAGAGGCAAGTCACAGGCTAGATCTGGGGCTGAGGCCCTCTCAGCTYCCTGGGAAGAGGGCTGGAGCCTGTCACTAGAGGGCCTTCCTGGGTTCCAGAGACCTCTGTGGATAGGGCCTCCCTCCCAAGAAAGTCTTTTCGGAAAGGCAGAGCACAGGAGGGAAGCCAAGAGCAGGGGAGACGTGGGCAGGCGGGAATGGTTGAGGGGGCAGAGGAAGAGCTGGAAGGGGAAGGGATCCAGCAGTGTAGACGCTGTATGGAATCTCATTTAGTCCTCTAAAAACATTCCATGACGTATGGATCAACATCCCCATTTTACAGATGCAGAAACTGGCCCAGAGAGGTAGACCAATGTGCTCAAGGCTGCTAGTGACAGTCTGGACAGCCGAGAGCTGTGATTCCCAAGCCCGTAGCTTTGCTGCTGGGGACTGACACAGAGGGGAAGGCTGAGGCCCGGCCAAGCCCAGGAAGATAATCCGCTGGGGGGGGGATGGGGGGAGGTGGAGGCAGGGCAAGGTCTGCTGCCCCCGGGTTAGTTCAGTGGGAGAGCCCACAGGCACTGGTTCATCTTCTTAGCCCCGCCCTGCACACTGATGGGGAGGGAAGGCACTAGGTGGCTGGGGACGGGCGGGGCAGGATACTCACGAGCAGGACCGCGCTAGCTGGCAGAGGCCACAGGCGGGCTTTCGCATCAGGTACATGGGCCAGCCGTAGGCAGCCAGGGCGAAGAGCATGTAGTAGCAGACCTCTTTGTAACGCAGCATCTCGTGCTGGAAGACAGGGTGCAGGGGGGGCTCTGCAGCCTCAGTCCAACAGTCCCAGAGATGGGAGCCTGGCCATCGCTCCCCAACAGGGAGGGGTGCACGGGCGGGGATGGTGTGGGACCCAGGCCTTGGAGGAGGGACCAAGCCTCTAGATGAAAATTATATTTCCCTAATTATCTCCATGTAACCAGGACACGAATCTCTTGGGACCTGTCCTGTCGCTCCAATCTCAGAATTAACGATTTGGGGACAGAAAATCACTCAGAGCACTGGATCGATTTCCTCGCTTGTTTTCCCAAGAAGGAAGAGAGTGAGGGRCCAGGGGCAGCGTGGCAATCACCACCTCAGCAGTCAAGCCCAGCCAAGGGACTTTGTTGCTAGGGAATTTAACCCTGAAAGGCCCTGGGATCTCCAACACCCTCCAGAGTGTCTGGCTATAGGCAGCAGGGTGGGCCACACTGGGCAAGGAGTCAACACATCCTCTGGCCCGCAGGTACCTGGTATGACTGACTCATGGAGTCCCAGGCTCGGGCTGGAGGAGGGCCGTCTGGGGGAGATTRGGATCACTCTAAAGAAAGGCGCCAGTTTAAAACCCCACAGGTCGGAGGCCTGTTGGCTGCTGCGGACGCCATGGTTGTTATCAGCACCGGGATAGAGGGAGGTGGGGAGAAAGGTGTCCCAGCAAAGCCTCCAGCAAGAGGACTGCAGCATTTAGAGGGAATTAGTCCTCTTGTAAAAGGTAAGGAGGGTGATTAGTCATCTTGTGAAGTGGAACAGGTAGTGCCTTAATCAGGGCCCAGAGGGGGAGCGCCCGCATCCTCTGTCTGCTCTCCAGGAATGAGCCAGGGAGCTGGAGAGGCAGTTACTCAACTCCAGAGAACCCTGCCAGCGGGCGGGGTGTTACCAACCTGTGCCACAGGCAGTGGGGACCCAGCCCCTCTGCCTGCCCTGCCCCTCTGCCCAGGGCTGGAAAGTCTGTCTYCCTGGAAAGCAGAATCAGCTGATTCAAGAGGATGTAAATGCTACTTTGGGGGGCAGAGACAGAAAGGGCTGGGGCCTGGGCTTTTTTTTGGGGAGTACCAGGGATCGAACTCAGTGCCTTGTGAATGCTAGGCAAGCACTCTACTACCACAGAGCTACCCCCAGCCCAACCTGAGGCTCTCATAAATGATGAGATAGCCAAGGGCTGAGGCCTCTTGGTCACCCATGGCATTGTGCTGGGACTAGACTCAGGACTGCTCCTCTTCCCTTAGCTCGGGAAGGAAAGTGTGCCCAGGGCCATTTTACAGTTGCAGGGACAGGCTCAGAGGGATGAGGGACTTGCGCAAGGTCAGAGTGACCAGCAGTTGAGCAGAGGTGTGCCCAACTCGGCAGGGCTGTGGCTAGGTGTTAGCCGAGGCTGCACAGTGAGCTGGGTCAGGGCTCTGCTGCCACAGGGTGGCACCACCTTCTCCTGTGACACGCTGGATTTCCACTTAGGCACTTAGAAAAGGCTCTGTTACTAAAAGGCTTGGAAACCACAGTGCTACGCCCYGGTGCCTTTATGACAGCAGTGGCAGCAATGATATCCCAGCTCACCCTCGGGAGGTGGTTTGCCATCTCAAGAGGCCAGGGCCAAACGTCTTGGAGCCGGCTAAGGGATTCGGGGTTTTGCTTGTAGAGCAGCATGACATGGGGCTGGTGGGGTGGGACGGTGATCTGGGAGGAGGCTCCCTGGAGGGCTGAGCAGGAGCTGGTGGGCAGTAGTGTGGCCCAYGCAGGAGGGCGGCGGGAGGTGTTTGCTCAGGTGATTCCGGCACAGGGAGGAACTGGTGGGGGAGGTGAGACGTACAGGGAGTGACTTCTGACTCACCGAGTTCTTGAGGTCGAGGTACTTGGTGTTTCTGGTCACTGGCATCCCAGACAGGAAGGCCAAGATGTCATTGTTTGCCTGTGAAACAGGCATGTGAAGATGGGCAGTGGCACATCCCCAAGCTCAGTCCCCAGGGCTCTGCCTGTTCCCAAAGGCCTGAGAGGCCCGAAGGAGCAGGTGGCTTCCAGCTCTTCCGAGACCCAGCCAGTGCTCCCAAACCAGAAGTGTCCCCATATTTTTAGTTGCTCCCTTTCTGCCCAAAGTATCAGACCCTGGGGATCTTCCTGACCTGTCCCGGGGGAAGGATTTTGTACAGATGTGAGACCTGACTGTACGCTGGCAGGGACAGGGAATGGGACATGGGGATAAAGCAGGAGGCTGAAGCCCCAGCTGCTGTCACAACTGGGCCGTGGATCGGAAGTCTGGAAGAAGCACATGGCCCAGAAATGGAGGGCCCTGAGCCGCAGCGGTGTGGCGGCTGCTGAAGTTCTGAGCTGGGGAAGGGAAGGCAGCGACCTCCAGGGCCTGTGAGGTGGGCAAGCCACGCAGCCAGAGCAGGGGCAGGGAGGGGGGCTGGCTGCAGAGGGGCTCACCTCGTCCAGCACCGCGTTGCGCTTGGCCCGTTGCCGCTGCCGGAGCAGCACCAGGCCAGCGATGATGTCGGATGGCACGATGTCGAGGTCCCGGAAAAACTCAGCAAAGAGGTAGGCGATTTCTGAGTAGGCATCCTACGAGGTCCGGGAAGGCAGGAGGAGTGGCATGGAGACAGGGGGACGMGAGACCAGGAGTGAGGTTCAGGGCAGTTCTACCCCTGCACCTCTGCAGCACCAGCCAAGCCTGGCCCCAGGTGGCCCTGTGCGGCTGGGACCCTCAGGGCCCTGACAGGACTGGCAGTAGCTATCTGGGACCACACTGACCCTTCCTGCACCTCTTGGGTCGYTCCTCCCATGGGAGGTCCCAAGGCTTGTACCGCCTGCCACACACGGGGGCCACCTGGCCAGTTCCTCCTCTCTTTCCCTAGACGTTAGGAGCCACAGCCTGGACAGTGCTGGCTTCTTTCTCTCTAGACTTTCTCTCAAGCAGAAAAGCCAAATGAAGTTCCTGGCTGCTTCTGACCACTAGCTATGACTCTGGAAGACAAAGGATTCTGTCAACCTCCGAGCCTTGGGCTTCCTCTCCTGCTGCCCAGGGGTCACAGGCCCAGTGGCTCCCCACAATGTGCCCAAGAAGGAGTATGATCATGGGCCAGTGCCCCCAGGCTTCCTCCATGCCCCTGGCCCAAGGACAGCCTGTGTCTGAGCCTCAGGGCAGGAAGCAGGGAGAGCGGCGAGTCCTGTGGGTTGGTGGGCTTGGGTCTCCCTTGCATCTTGCTTTGCTGGAGCGGGCCCATCTTCCCTATCTTGTCAGGAGAAGCCAAGGTGGGAACCCACTCATGACACCAGGTTCTGCCTCCCCCTGGAGTGTCTCGCATTCATAAGAAAGAGCCAAGCGGGGCTGGGGATGTGGCTCAAGCGGTAGTGCGCTCGCCTGGCATGCGAGCGGCCCAGGTTTGATCCTCAGCACCACATACAAAGATGTTGTGTCTGCCGAAAAACTAAAAATAAATAATATTTAAAAAAAAATAAAGAAAGAGCCAAGCGCTGCAATCTGAAACACCCCAAGGGCCGAACGGCACCAGCGGCTGCTGAGCTCCAGCTGACCAGCCAGGAGAGCCTGGGTCGCCAATCGGGGAGGACGGGAGTTCACATAAACAGCCTTGACTTTCAAACGCTGGTGTCCAATTCAGGTTTTTAAGGAACACCACACAAGCTGATCAAGAAGTGCCTGGACCATCCGTGTCCGGCAGAGCCCATGCTCAGGGCTCCTGGTGAGGCGTGGCCTTTCCACCAGGCTCTGACCACAGAGGGGGGCCGGGCACTCCACATGGTGGCAGGCCCAGCCTTTACCTGCCAGGGGACTGCTCCCTGCCTTCACATGGCCTGCCTGCAGCCCAGACCCTGACCATGACCCCTCGGACCTCCCCGAGAGACCACAGGGTGCTCCCCGCCCACCCGGGAACTCAGGGGCTTTCTTCACTGGATTACTCACTCTACGGGTCACCAGTGCTGCTGGTGAGGACGAGCCACGCGAGGCTTCCCGGTGGCTTCCGAGGAGGGCACTTTGCTGTCTGCCTCGGGAGGAGTGGTCTCCTGACCTCACTGGCTCTGCTACTAACTAGCTGTGGGATGCTGGGCAAGTCACTCCACCTCTCTGGGCCTCAGCTGTCTGATCTGCAAAACGAGGGGTGGTGCTGGATGACCTCTAAGGTCCCTCCTGGTGCTGCAGGGCTCTGCCTCCCTCCCCGCCCCAGGGCCGCCCACAGCTGAGCCTGCCCTCTTCCTGCAGTGCTTGGCGCTCTGAGGCCAGCCCCTCTGCTCACTCCTCAAAGCGCTGGTCGGTGAGGGCTGACTGTGCGCCACCCAGCACCATGCTAAGCGTTACATGGCATCGCTGTGCCCTCCAAATCCATGCTGTGGAGGATGTGCTACTTTCCTCCGACTTCAGGTTGTCTGAATTGTGAGCATTTCGTCTCCTAAACTAAACTCTGTTCCAAGGCTGCTCTACAGGCTGGGGGGAGTTGGTGGGTGAAGAATAACGGATCGCCATAGAAGCAGGCTGTCACCTGCACCRGAAACCCAGTGCCTCCAACCAGCCCCGCCCACTCGGCTTTGCCAAAGCAGAGAAAGGTGCCTGAATCACAGGATGTGAGTCTGGGGGAAGTGACTCCCGATACTTACTGACTGCGAGTCCTTCGTCCGAGTGCAGCAGAGGAACACTTTGAGCCGACGTGACCAGCTGGTGGCCTGACCTTCCTCCAAGCGGTGCCTGCAGAAGGGAAGAGTTGGTATGTGTGAGGTCAAAGAGCTGGGCCAGAAGAGCTGGGAGCCAGACATTATAGAAACAGAATGGCCTGTTCCCAGGGCCCCACCAAAGGGCTCCCCAGAAGGAGGTCCCGGGGGGAGAACAGGCCCAGGCCTGGCCAAGGCTGGGTGGCCAGTGACCTGGCTGTTGGCCAGSCAGGGCACTCCCTGGGGGACTCCTACTGGCCTAGATGGTGAGCTGATGGTCAGTAGGGCCATCTAGGCTTTTGGAAGACTGGCCTGCAGGCATGCCCTGGGAGCTCAGAGCTGGGAACTAAAGTAGGGGCTACTCTGCAGCAAAGGTGTCCAAAGGCAAAGCAAGAGCCCAGGGAGACGCTGCGCCCCTCTGCCCTCTTGTTCCAAGGGCTGGAAGAGACCTACTTTTCCTGATAAAGGATTCCAAAAACTTGCTCTTCTCTGAGGCCCAGGTCTGCTCCCCACTCCCCAACCCCAGCTCCACAAGGCCACGAGGCACAAGCAAACAGGGTCTTCCAGGAGGTTAGGAAAGGGTGCAAGCCAACTGCCATTCTGGGACCTGCTGCCTCAAGGACCTGGGAAGCCTTGCATCCTGAACCAATGCCCACGCTCCAGGGGCTTGATGACATGACATTTTTAATGGTTTCTAAGCTAATGGGGTTTTTCAAAAATTCAAAGAAAATTTCCTGCTGGGCCTCTCACCAGAAGGAAGTAGCCCCAACACTTTGCTGCAATGCCCTTTATAAACACCAGGGGGCAGGTCACTTTAGGAATGTGAGACTGTGACAGATCCGGTCCAGCGTGTCAGGAAGGCTACAGACCAGGCTAGGGACTTACACACCAAGTCTGGACAGAAAGTTCATAGACCCCAGCAGCCTCTGCCCTGCAGCTCATTAATGTGAAAGGGGGCAGACAGTCCTGCAAAAATCCAAAGTCAAGCCTCCTGGGAATAACCCCCYCTCCCAACCCTGACCAGGTTTCACTGGAAAGAGAAACGACCAAGGACTTCAATATTCCCAAATTCCAAAAACTGAAATCACCTCCTAGCACTGTGAGGCATCAGGAGTATGTGGGTCCCCACACTGGGGAGTTGCTGGCTTGAAAATGTCCTTGCTAGAAAAACGGTTTGTGAGTTTCAGAGCAGGGGCAGGCCAGCCGAGGCCAGTCAGCCATCCCAGAGCCCCACAGGAGCAACGGAGAAACCACCAGAGGCCAGGCCCTGTGAGCTCCAGGGCACCTCATTCACCTTGGCAAGGCCCGGAAACCACAGAAAGCTTTCTAATTAAAACGACTGTAGCCACCAACCTTCACTACAAAGGCACTCGCTCCCCTGGGCCCCCAAGGCAACCACCCGGAGTCAGAAAGGGAAGTCTCCACTAGGCCCAGGAGCCCAGAAACCGTGTTAGGTTGGGGCACGCTCTGGGCAAGGGAAGAGGGAGGGTGGTGGTAGCTAGCCGCCCTCTGGGGAAAATGGACTCTCGGGCCTTGGCTCCAAGGCCTGACATTTTGGGCTGGGAGGCGGCCAGACCCGGCATGGGTGTGGCTCTGGCCGCAGTGATGAGCTGAGGCGCTGACGTGGAAGGGGAACTCTGTAGAAGGTTAGGGTTAGGGTGAGGGTTAGGGGAGGGGTTCTGCTGGGCGTGCAGCCTGGGCAGCCCCCCCCCATGAGGGTCCTGAGCTGCTCTGGGCTGAAGGGCTGCTTCCGTGTCCTACCAACACAACCTGGAACTAGCAACTTAGAGCCCTCACCTGTAGAACGGGTCTCAAAACTTCCCTGGGGTTGCCAGAGGGTTAACTGGACCAAGTGTGTAAAGAGGTCAGCACAGGGCCTCACAGTGGAAGCTTGATGTGTGGGGGGTACTGTGACCCTCCATGGAAACCCCCTCTCTATTTTTCTGTCAATAAACAGGAATCATATGATCCTGCCTGGGTACCCTCCCTCATTTTCTCTGGCAGGGTATAGCTTCCCCTTTTCTTTAAATAGGCATGTTAAACACCCCCACCAGGAAGCCTTCCTTGATTAACTTCCTCCAACCCCTGAGACCTAGAGGCAGCTTGCCTGGTGGTTTGTGCTAGGCTCTGGCCTCACCATTTGCCAGCTTTCTAACCTCAGCTTTACCACCTCTCTCTGCCTCAGTTTCTCCCTCCTATGATGAGGCAATGTTAATGGCTACACCTGGAGCTGACGCTTCCTCTCTGCAATGCTAGGTTTGATTTATGAGTCTCCTGCTGTTCCTGCCAGTGTTCTCAGTGCTGCTGCTGACCCTGGCAGCAACAGCTACCATCTGCTGACCACTTACCAGTGTGAGCATCAAGTTAACCACTCTGCACACATCCACCACAAGGCTAGAGCTGTCGTTCCCATTTCATTTATTTTTCAGTGCTGGGGACCGGACCTAGGGRCACTAAACCTCTGAGGCACATCCCCAGCCTTTTTAATTTTTTATTTTGAGACACCATGTCACTAAGTTGCTTAGGGCCTTTCCAAATTGCTGAGGCTAGCCTTGAACTTGTGATCCTCCTGTCTCAGCTTCATGAGCTGCTGGGATTACATGTGTGCACCACTGCACCTAACCTGTTGTTCCCAGGGGAACAAGGTGACAGGCAGGGAGAAGCTAAGTCCTTCCCTAATGCCCCTGGCTCACACAAGGCTGTCATGCAGTTTGGGAGGCCTGTGGTAGCCCCTTGGAGAACAGAAACCTCACCTCTGCCCTTGGTCAGTAAAGCCCTCTAGGGTACTACCCACCCACAGGCCAACTGACCGCAGGTTGTAGGTCCGCAGGTTGCGCTGCCTCCTCTTGGTGGCTCTCAGTTTGACGAAAGTGCGGCCCGTGGGATCAAAGACGCAGAGGACGGTGATACAGACGCTGAGGATGACCACCCAGTTGCAGACGACCATCCCTGCGGGGCAGCAGTGGGAAGAAAGGTGGACATGCTGGGGACACCTCCCCAGATCTCGGCTCTGAAGCAAGAGGCACCAGACCCTCCCTACTCCCAGCTGCTACCAGGACCCAAGGACAGGACTGAGAAGCCCCTACTCCCCGCCTGCCCGAGGCGAGTCCTGGGCCCAGCCTTGGCAGAGCAGGCAGCCCTGTGGGCTCCCAGGGAGGTGCTGAGGAGCCTCGACTACTTTCACCGGGCCAGACCAGGGTCCTCTAGGGGATGACCAAACGCAGGGTGAAGGAAGCCACCTCCCTGGTCAACATGCTAGTGCTCAATCTCCTTCCGCTCTAAGCCGGTGCTGTCCCCTCCACCCCCAGGGCTGGCTGAGGCTTCCGTGGGCCATTCCAGGCCTGACATACCGAGGGTGACGTTCTTGGCAGTGAGGTCATTGCAGGAGGTGTAGTACTGAGTGAGCCAGACGATGCCCACGATGGCATAGATGAACTCGATCACCAGGATGGCTGCAAGGAGAGCAGGCCCTGGCTGAGAGAGGGCCCGCGTGCCCTCCATGGAAGGCTCAGGAATCTTGGCCCCTCCTCTTGGGGAGCCTCTGGCCAGCTCAGTAGCAGGACTGGTAGGTGGGAGCTGCATCAGACTCCCAGCAGAGGCTGTCCCACCACCAGCAGGTCCCTGTCTGGTCCCCTGTAATTTGTCCTCAGGCCCCTGGTGACTGGAAAGGGGGGTGATGAAGAGGCGCTTCCCTGTTCTTTCAGGATTTCAGAATGATATGCATGAGCTATGGAAATCAGAACCTATCTTAGGTGAGTTACCTAATCTCTCTGAGCCTCCGTTTCATTGTTTGTAAAATGGGAGTGACAATGTCATAGAACCACATGAGGATTAGATGACTGCTCGTTTTTCAGGGAAACTGCTATTTCCCAGCAAGAGGCCTCTGGGACTTGAGTGGGGAGGAGAAAGGAGCCCAGCATCAGGCTTCAGAGCCCACACCCGAGCTGGCCCTCGTGCTCAGCTRTTGGCACACAGATGCCAGGGCCCTCACGGGGCAGGAGGTGGGGAGGGGATCTGAGGGCCTTGCAGAGGGCAGAGTGTGGCCACTAAGAACCCAGAGCCAGAGGGCCTGGATTCAAATCTGACACTTCTGTGACTAGCTGTGTGACCTTGAGGAAGCTCGTGACTTTCCTGAGTCCAGTGTCCTTGTCTATAAAACAAGGTCAACAACAAATAAAAAGCTCCTCTCCAGGCACCAACAGGGGAAAAGGCTGGGCACACGCCAGCAGGAGAGAAGCGGGAGGGCCCAGGAGAAGGGGTGGAACCTGGGCACAGAAGAGGAGGCAGGCTGGTCCCGGGGGCTTTCGAGGGAGGGCTGCRTCTGTTTGAGAAGGATCACCAGGCAGATGCGCTTTGCAGAGATGCTCATGGTCTAAAAGGGGGTCAGCACAATCTGTCCGTAAAGGGCCAGAGAGCAAACATTTAGGCTTTAGGCTCCCACAATCTCCGAGGCACTCCTCAGCTCTGCCAGAGCAGACCAATCATGAAAGAATGAGTGTGTTCTAATAAAACTTTATTTATAAGACAGCTCTGAGGCCTCAGCCTGTCCACCCCCACCTAAGACGGAGTCCCAGAAAGTCTCGGTTCACTGCTGTATTTGGTGCTGGTTTACGGCGTGGCTCACAGACGTGCCCAACAAACATTGGCTGAATGAACGAATGAGCACAGGAGGATGCTGGGAGGGTGGTCTGGGGCAGCCCCCAACCCGAGGTGGGCGGCCCTTACCCAGGCGCACGTAGAGCACGTACTGCATGGAGTCGCGGGGCTCTGTGTAGAGGATGCCCCCACGCATGCTCAGCCAGATGATGGCCATCTCGGCGATCATGCAGCTCAGCAGGATACCCAGGTAGCCGCGGCCGTGGTCCACCAGGTTCAGGGAGCAGGCCTCATGTGGGTTGTACACCAGGCCGAAGAGCACCACAGACAGGATCACAAACCTGCAGGTGAGCCAGCAGTGAGGCCGGTGGCCCTTGTGTTTGAGCTGTCCCCGGCAGGCAGCCCCACCCAGCCTGGGCTCAGTGGAAGGAGGTAGGCAGCACACACTTCCCCTACAAGACCACTGTCCACCGGGCACTGGGAGCCTCCAGGGGACAGGAAAGTGAGAGTCCCACTGTCAGCGTGGGGAGACAGCAGTGGCAACAGCACCCCATGCTGGGGTTAGGTATAGCAGCAGTCAGGAGGGGTCCTGGCTCCACGTGGGTGGACCATAAGGGGCTCCACGTTTCAGGTACCCCCTCCTGAGAGCTGGAAGCAGGACAGGGTCAGGAGTGGGCCCAGGCAGGGAGGAACATGAACTGAAAGGCTTCCTTCCAAGCCTTTCCCCCAGCCTCAGGCCTGTAGCCCCAGCCCCCAGGGCTCACCAGGTGGTGTGCAGGAGGAAGAGGAAGATGGCTGGCAGGACGAGGTCATCGCTGCCCACAGACCAGCGCCGCCGGAACACCACGATCCCAGGCATGGCTGGCAGCTCTGGAAGGCTCAGCGGGCCTGGCACTCACCTCCTGAAAGAAAGCAGAGGACCCTGAAGCTGTGTGGGCAGGCTGGAGCACCCAGGGCCACCATTCCTGTGCTACTGGGCCAGTTCCAGGTGTGGCCAGTAGCACAAGCATCTTGGCACTGGCCGCAAGCACCAATCCCTGGACACTGGAGATGCTGACCCATCCTTAGGCTGGACCTGCCTCCTGCCCTATCAACTTCCAGAGCCAACAAAGGACCTGGGCAGTAGGACGATGGCTGCAGCCTGACCCACGGTCTCCTGTCCCCCTAGATGGCACTGCTTGGATTTGCCTCAACAGTCCTCTGTTCTGCTCCATTAAGACCTGGGGATCGATGGGACCCTTGGCCCCAGACTCCTGGTTGCCTTTCCACAAAGATACCTGGCCCAGTGTGTAGGGGGTCAAGGTAGTGGCTTCTGACACCAARAGCAAGCTGTCCCTTAGCATGAAGGCCAGCAGGGCAGGGGAAGGCTCAAGGCTTTGGGGACTGTGGGCTAGGGCTTGTGAACAGCAGCAGCTGGGACCGATACACGGGGCGAGGCGCCCAGCACACAGCTGGTGCTCCCGAGGCTTTGATGAGTGGGGTCTCTGGCCCCTGGCTTCGCTGGGGCCCTCCAGCGTGGGTGCTCCTGACTTCTACCCATCAAACACCACTCCCAGCCACAGCCACGCCTCCAGGTGGGGAAGGCTATGGCAGAAACATGTGGTCAGGAGTATGACAAGGAAGCCTCCGCCCGGCCACTGGAGGAGCAGCCGCACCTCCGGGCTCCCCCGAGCCACGCAGCCTCCAGCGCCCAGCGCCCAGCTCCACAAAGTRGCTGGATGCACATAAGTCACGAGCAAGCTCAGCAGAGTGCCCAGGACCCTGGGCCGCCCCCTCTTTAGAGTGCAGAAACGAGGGCAGTGACGGGCAGGAGGCTGGTCCAGGCGGACGCCAAAGAGCAGCTCCAGAGCTTCTGCACTGAACTATGCAGAGGGGTGCCTCCTGTGGGGGCTGAGCACCCTGCCGCAGGCAGCTGTCCCCCAGCCCCACAGAGGCTTACATGGCACCTGGTCCGGGTTGGGCAGCAGGTCCTCCTTTCCCCGGTGACGGCTCTGGGGAAAGCGTGTATCRGTGACCAGCATCATTTGGGAAGGAAGTGGACACGTCCTCCCCAGCCAATGGGCACAGCACTCAGGGTGGGCCAGGGGGCGGGGGGCCAGGCGGCCGGCCAGCATGTCCAGCCTGCGGCCTCCTCTCCCTGGCAGCCACTTCCCCAGCAGCTCCAGGGCTGCTCGGGCCAGCGAGTCAGCAGCTGGGCTGGTGGCTGGCGGGCAAGCTTGCCGGGGTCGTGCCTGCTCCTCCCCGCCTCAGGAAGTGACATCATCCCACACTCTGAGGAGGAGTCGAGGAGTGAGGAGTGGAGCGCAGATTCGGGAATCCGGAGAAGGCTGGGGCAGGCCAGGGACCTGCAGAAGTGGGGTGGCTGGGGCCAAGGTCTGCAGGAGGTTAGGGCTTCAGTGACTGTAACGACAGCTGATAGCCCTGGCTTTGGGTTTGAAGTGATGAGACAGGACAGAGCCGGGGCACCTCGGGTGACAGCCAGGCAGGGGCTGAACAGAGCTGTCGACAGCTGGTGATGCCACCCCTCCCCCGTCTGCAGTTGGCTCCTGGAGGATAAGCTGGGGCTGGGGTCAGGGTTGGGGGCTGCCGTGAAGCACCCAAGAAGTGGGACCAGCGCGGCCCCAACAGGTGCCAAGGCTCCGCGTCCAGCTCCCATCAGCCATGCAGGGAAAAGCAGGGAGAGGGCCCCTCGTCCCGCAGCCCTGAGGGGCTGGTAGACGAGGGTCCTGCCTATCCCAGCCTGTCACCTGTCCTGTCCCTGCCAGCAACCTGGCCCTCAAGTGGACCCCTGGATGGTGTTCTCACACTAGGGCCCTCACCCCGCCCTTCACCTCCCCTTCCTGGCAGAGCCTAGAAGGACTAGCGCTCCTCGGGCTCACACTGCCTTCACCATCACCCGGGGAGTCCACTGAGCTGCCCCTGCTCTGCCTGCCGCGCCTCCCATCCCTCAGTGCCAGGCCCTGAAGAGGTGGCCACAGGACTGTCCAGACACAGCAATAACATGGACAGTGGCTCTCTGTCCCTGCTCAGGGGGTGATCAGCCTGTGGCTAGCAGCTGTGGTCAGTACAAACCCACCCAGCTTGCCCCTGCCCTCCAGCCAGCGCCCAGGACAGCCCACTATTGCAGGACCCTGGCATGGTGCCCAGCCCAGAGCGGTGTCATGGGCTATAGTACCCACCAGCTGGTGACTTTCTAGTTGCGCCTGTTTCCTCACCTGTGAAACGCTGATCATGCCTCCCTCCTAAGCTCGGCACGGAGGACAGGAAGGTGTGGGAGCCGGGCTGGGCTGGGAGAAGGCCGAAGCAGAGGGGGCTGCAGCTGGGTGGGGGAGATGCGGGTGAACTCCCTGGAGGACCAGCTGCCCCCCCTCAGCTAGGGCCACTGGATTCTGCAGCTGGTCACCAGCAGGTCATGGGCTGGGGTGGGGGCAGCAGGGCTGTGCTGCACGGGGCACTCTCTGTGCAGATTCATAAATCTCAGGACTGCTATTTTTAAGGGCCTGAAAAGCACCCTTTCTCTTAAGACCCCAGCCCATCACAATGGGGGCCTGTTCCCCTGCTGGGATGTGATTTCATCGGGAGGAAATGTCTCAGGAGGGGGAGGGCAGAGGCTACTTCCTGGTCTGGGGCCACCACAAAGCACCTCCTCTGGCTCTCCTTCCCTGGGGCACAGTTGGTGTCCTCAACAACCCCAGTGTGTGGGGACAGGAGACACTGCCTCCCCTTCCTACCCCTAAGCTCTGGGGCTTCTAGGGCAGGCACAGCACCCCTCCAGCAGCGGGGAGCAGGAGCTCTGCAAGGGGCATCCCATGCTGCAGGCTGGGTCTCCAACCCCGGCAGGTGGTAATGGGGTGCCAGGGGCACCAGCTCACAAGGATGGAATGACTTTAGCAGCTCTAAAGGGCCTCTTTCTTCCCCCACCCACATGGCCCAGTTTCCCTGCAGATGATTCAGATTCCTGGGTTAAATATTAACCCTTCTGGGAGTTCCTCTTTCTAAAAATGCAAAATTCTTTTTAAAAAGTGCATGCTGTCCCCTACTTTAAAAACATTCTATGGCTCCCCATGGCCTGCAGGATAAAGTCCAAGCCCCTTAGGTGAAGAGGCTAAGGACCTCAGTATCMGACAGGCTAAGCAACCTTGGGCACAGGCCTCGTCCTTTCTAAATCCAGGGTTTCTGTACCCCAGAGTAGGAAGACTCCCCAGCTGTCGGGGACATAGGTGCAGGCCCAGCACACAGCCTGCCTTCAGGGGCAGAAACCTTCTGGCTAGAAGGCTCTTCCCCCCAGCTCCAGCTCCCGCAGGCCTGCTGCTCTCTAGACACCTCAACGGAAGGGTCCCTGCTTTGGTTGCCCCAATCCTCCCTCCAAGTGGCTGTTCGTCTTTCTGGGCCAGCCCCATATCACCTCCTGTTCGGGGCCCTCCTTGACAGCTCCCTCCCACCCCTCACCCCACCCCAGGCCATCTCTCCAGCCACCGGCCTGCTCTGCAACCCCCTCCCTGTCATGAAAGCCAAGACAGCATCTCCTCCCTCTTGGCTCACAGCCCTCCCTTCTGGGGAAACGTCCCTCCCTTCCTGCTGACCGTGCCCTCCCTGATAGCTCCAAGGAGCCCCCCACCCCCTCACTGGCCATCTTGACTGTTCTTTGGCTTTGGTGGCTTCATCTGTAAAATGGGACAGCATGGCCCTCGCGGGCTGTGTGAGAACCAGTGGTGGCCGGGGACATCCCAAAAGCTCTCACGGGTCCGGCACACTCCAGACCCTTTCCTGATGCTCTGTAATAGAGCACCTAGGAGCTCCTGGGGACTTCTTGCCATGTGATCTGTGACCGGGTGCTGGGGCTGGGGTCTGGGTGGGCGCTTTTGGTGCTATGATAAGACACACCTGACCGGGTACCTGCACTGCTGCRGCCTAGGGTTGCTGCTGCAAGTGGCCCAGGCTGGGCCTCACCCCTTACCCTAAGGCCCCAGGTGGGCTCACGCGGCCCTGGGAACAGCGGGCCCCGGCTAGCAGGGGAGCAGAGGCGCTGCAGGGTCAGCTCTCTCAAGGCCCTGCAGAGTCCCTGCTGGGACTGGTGCCTGAAGTGAGGTCATGGCACCAAAGTGGCCACAGGGGATAGGTGATGTGCCACCTCCAGCCCACGAGCGTCCAGGCATGGGCTGGGGGCTGGAGAAGGCCCAGGGAGTGCCTGATACCAGGTGAGCACCCACGGCCTGTGTCCTGARTCCTGGGCTCACTGCCTTTGGTCTCTGAAGTAGTGATGCAGGGTGACAATGCCACTCTCATGTCTCGGGAGAGTGAGGGGGGATTAAGAATAGAGGTGCTAAAAACCGACTGCTGTCTGAGTCCTGGCTTTGGCACTTACTGGCTGTATAATCTTGGACAAGTTACTTAACCTCTCTGTGTCTCCTTCCCTCCCTTCTAAAACTGGGATCAGAAGAACACCCATTTCAGAGTATCGTGAGTTAAATGAGGCACACTGTGAAACAGCACCTGTCACCTGGGAAGTTTTCAGCAAATGCCACCTCTTCCGTTGTCATTACCAYTTGAGAATGGAGACTGAGGCTCAGACGGTGCTCTGGCACCTTCCGAGAAGCGGGGGGCACAGTTCACTCCCATCTCCACCCAGAGCGCACAGCAATACAGGAAGACAGCRTTGAAAGGGCTCAGAAAGTCCCTCCAAGCCCCTTCAGGGGTGAGGAAACTGAGGTTCAGAAGGGACACAACCCCTGCGCTTCCTGCATGGGTGCTGCACAGATGGCCCCGGAGTCCCCAAGCTAGCCCACTCCCTTCTCATCCTCACAGCAYGCCCAGCTCAAATTCCTGGGTGACCCAACCAAGAGCAGAGTGATAGTCTAGGGAGCTGAAGCTGTGACCCTATCCTTCCTGTTCCTGAAGGTGACATAACTCTTAGGAAGCTGCCAAAGTCCACCTGCGCTCTCACTGAGGACAGACCTGCAGGATGGTGCCAACCTGGCATGGATCAGCAGCAAAGTCCCCTCCCGTCCTTCTGCAGCCAAAAGAGGAGACCCACAGGCCCAAAGCCCATCCGCTGGGCCTCTGTGTCAGCCTGCTGAGGCTGGTGATGGAGCCCAGTGTAGCCACAGCCTGGACTGCCAGTCCTGGACCAAGAGTCTCGGGCCTCCTGGGTGGCGAGAGAGGGAGCAGGTGCACAGGCAGGAGACACCCAGGCCCTCACCGTTGCTATAGGGAAGGCCGCCATTACATGCCAAATCTCCTGGTGGCCAAAGTAAAAGGGGGGACTGTTCACATGGGATTCCATGTGAATGGGCTCTAAAATGGAAGGTGCCCAGACCCTCCAGAGGGCAGGGTGACTGCCCTGCTCTGCCCCCTCCCACCATCTGGTTCTCCGAGCGTCTGTGTTGACGCTAGAGCTTGTCTAGTCAGACGGGGCATGTCAAGAGTGAGGCCAGGCTGCAGGCAGCGTGYAGGCGGGCAGTGGAGAGGCTCCCTCCCTGCTGGGGCAGGCTCCCCCTCAGGCCACCTTCTCACTGACTGGGCCTGCAGGAAGGTCCTGTTAACCCCAGCTCCTCCACGGCCCACTGCTCAGTGGCGGCGGTGCCTAGTTAACCTCTCTGTGCTGGCTCATGAGGCTTCAATGAGGGATTCAACCCCAGGAACTGGAATCACTTTGTCAACTGCAGGGTGGGTCCTGGTGACGGACGAGGGGAGATCTCCGTGAGCCGGGAGGGCTGCTTCACCTCTTTTAACCTTTATGAGTTGCCCACAATGTCTTAGCCCCCTAAATCCAGGGCAGACATAGGCTCACTAACCCTCTTCACAACTCCACGAGGCAGGCACTACGTTTCCCAGGTGAGGTGAAGTGACTTGCTCACGGTCACCGGCCTAGTTCCACAGCCATCTAGCTTCATCTCTACGTGAAGAGAGATGCCTCAGGCCTGTGCCACTGCACCCAGCCCTACGCCTTGCTTCTGAGGGGCAGTGCTCCACTAGCTGCCGGCATCCGAATGCAGGAGCTGGCTTCTGACCTCGCCTTACAGAGTGGGCAGCAGGGCCTCAGGGACCATAAAGAGCAATCTGGGTATTTGTCTGGCACCAGATTCTCAATGACACCACTGCATGAAAGAGTATCAGCCCCATCCTGCAGATGGCGAACACTGAGCCCAGGGAGCTGCACAGAATGTGGTGGA